AAGGGAAAGAACATAATCTGATAGGAAAAAAATAAACATGACTCTCAAACCAACAATTCACAATCACAAAATATTTTAAAAGGACTTGAACATACAAAATATGTTATAACTTCATCTCAAGTCATTCCTCCTCTCATTCATTGTATTCCTAGAATATTCTAAACTTTTTTTCCTCCGTAGAAGGAATAAAGTTTAGAATATGTGATGCTTGTTCACCTTAATGTTCTACCCTCAACTCCTTGAACAGCTCACCTCCTCTCATTCTTCAGGTTTTCACTTACAAGCCACCTCCTCAAAGAGGCCTTCTCTGGATCCCCTATCCAAAGTACTAATTGTCCCTCCACCACAGCTGTTGTTAATTTATTTTATCACAGCATAACCTATACTATCCAATTTGAATATCAGCTTCCTAAGGAAAAGTGCTTTGTCTGGTTTGTTCACCATCGTATCCTCCATGTCTAGCAGATGCAAGAAAAGTGAAGTAATTACAGTTCAGGAAACAGCATACTAAGTTATGGGATTTGACATCGAAATCACCAGAGTGAAGATAAGTTCCCAATATGAAGAATTACAGTGAGTTACTGAAAGGAATTAAGGAGGTTCAAAGAATTGATAATAAAGTGTGAGGTAGGTTATCCACATTTTTACTTAAGTTATAAACCACAATATCTCTCAGTTTAAGTACTATCTCTAGAGGATCTAATTCTCTTAGTAACCTCCATTTAATAATTTATTTTTATTTTTTGGTACTAGGGATTGAACTCAGGGGCGCTTCACCACTGAAAGTCCCCAGCCCTTTTTATTTTGAGACAAGTTCTAACTAAGTTGCTTAGGGCCTCACTAAATTGCTGAGGCTGGCCTTAAACTTGCAATCCTTCCACCTCAGCCTCCTGAGTTACTGTTTACAGGCATGCAGCACTGCACCTGGATTAATAAACCTTTTTTAAAAAAACTCTTTGAGACTTCTCTTTTATCCCTCCTTCTTCTTTCATCTAGTCATCCAATTCCTCTGGCTGTATCTGCTTCCTTCTCCATCCTACAATGTCAATTTATAACATTAATGTCTATCCTTTCCCTCTATAGTGATTATCAAGCATGAATCTAAGAAAGACCTGAATAGGTTTAAATTTGAACACATGACTTGGACCCACCCTTTGGATTCAGGAGGACTATGGTGGAGGCTCATTTCAAAAAAACGCCCCAGAAGAGCTGGATACAGACAATCCAAGAAAAAAAGAAACACTGATCTGGAGCAAACTCCTTTAATAACACCCTGCCTACTTGGCAGCTTTTTGTGATTACATATTTTCCCAATCAGTGAATTAAATAATAAATAATAATAAATAGCCACTTATTTTTATGTGGGGGAATTTCATTGTTTACATTAAAAAGGGACCCTCATACTCAAAAAATATTGGAAATCACCATTTTATAGTAAAAAGTCCAAATTCCTTAAAATGACACTCAACTAATACCTCCCATGGGCTAGATTTCCAAGCACACCTCTCTTACACGACATTTATGATTTTTTTCCCTGATGATTTTCCTTATAGCTTACTCCTAATACGATCTCAATCTATCATAACAATGCTTCAATAGCATTTTAAATTGGGGGAATTAAAAGGATAGCTCAAAGATCAAGTAATTCAACTCCTTAATTTCACTGAGAAGGACTTCATCTTTTGCATACCATTGATTTCCTAATACTAGAATTTAATAACTTAAGACCAACAAAGATATAAAAGTTCCTCAAATTTTTTCTAAGAACTTTCACAAAGCAAATTTCAATTTGATTCTCCTTTGCCATTTAGGTCCCCAGGCTCTAACGGTACCGCTATATACACGGGTAAACTTCCAGAAGTTCCAGGAGGCCAATAATTCACTCTGCAGACAGGCAGAGATTCTGCAGATTCACTATGTTAGAACCTTGGGAATGAAAACAAAAATAGCTAAAGTTTCCAGACTGTAGCCCTGTAATCATTTAAGAGGTCCCAGTGATGATGATAAGGACAGCAGCTAACATTTATTGGCTCCTTGTTCTCTGCACTCCACTAATCACGTTATATCATCAGTCCCTTTAGCTGTCCCTAAGTAAGGTAGGTAGCAATTATTGTCTTTAACAATTAGCAAATGAGACTCTGAGAAGTTAACTAACTGTCCAGGTCCCAAAGATAAACTTCTAGATATGACCGACTTCCGACTGCAGGTCTCCCCCGCCATCTGCGCTGGCCCCGGGTTCTCGGCCCCGACCTCCTCGGCTAGACCCACCCTTCAGTCAGCAGGCCCGCACTCACCTTCAGCAGCCTATGCCCAGTGGTCTCCTTCTCCTTGTCGGTTACCCCGGACGACCTCTCAGCTTCCTGGGCACTGCGGAAGTAAGTGGTCTCTGATCCTCTCAACTCCACCGGCTTCCCATCCGACGTCCTCAGGTGTATGGCTTCCGGGATGGCCAGGGTACTCCTCTTAAGTACTGGGTCTGGGAACAGGGAATGGACCCGCCCGCTGCGGTTATCGGCAGCGGTGGGAAGTTTAAGTGTCCCGCTGCGGGTATCAGCAGGGAGCGAGGCGGGAATCTTCCGGGTGTCCTGTGGCTGCGCCATTCCGCCATGCTCCGCAGGGGCCTGCCTGTGCCTACCTAACCGACAGCTTGCTACTGCGCCAGCGCAATGGAGCGAGCTCTCGCAGCCTTTCGTGCGCTTTGCTTCTCGCACGTGCAGCCACGCGGGCCCTGATGGTTCTTGCCTGGATGCTGCCAGGGCTGGGGCTTTGCAGGCAGGCAAGTTTAGTGAGCCTAAACGCAGCAAGCACTAGCCGGGCCATTTCTGTCTCCTTTAGGAGGAAATCGGAGCATGCGGTGGGCAGCAAGCTGCTCAGAGCTGTCATCCGCCCCAGTTCAGTCTTGTCTGCCCCAATAAGCAACCCTGGTGAACCCTCTTCTCCCTGCACCTTTTCCTTCTAGGAGATTTAAAATATTAGTCATCACCTCCTCTGCACTATCTCCTGTGCTCCAACGTTTTGTCTCCAACAACCTACTTGGATAACTTTACTTGTTACAAAAGACACATTAATACTTTATATATTGCTCTTCCCTCTGAACCTCTAGTATGGTTCCAAACCCACTTGTAGTGTTTTAGGAAACAGCTGGTCCAGAAGCAGCACTTGGTATTCTGAGAGGAGAATTCCAAACTATTTTATACCTGTGGGCCCAGAGGAAAACAAAACTCCAAAGTCTGAGCTCCCATCTACAGTTTCTCATAACATTTAAAGGCTATATAGTGTCATAAATTATCTAGTCCAGATTGTCAATGGGGTTTCTAGCAGGAAGTATGTTTACAGAAGCACAGTGTGATAAGGGGAAGAACTGGCTCCTCTTACAAGGCCTTTGATAAATCTCTAGGCTTGGGCCCTGAGCCTCCACAGGTGAGTTTACACGTTAAAGGGAGTAGTTAGACTCCCAGGGGAAGTTATCTACAATCCAAAAGATAGGGACTCATGATCACTCAGGCTTCTAGGAGAAAGGCTGAGATGGGGAGGGTAACTGACCCCTTCCCCAGGCATTGGTTTCTTACTATAACATAATTTCATTTCACAACCAGGTCTGATTTTGCCATCACAGTAATAATGTCACATGCGAACAACCATGAAAATTCTGACATTTTTAAAAAATTTGAATCCTATTATCTGAACTCAACTTTTTCTTTTTAAAAAACGTAATTTGGGACCCTCACACTCAAGACTATAGCAAAGGTTTACTCCCTGTCTGCTGCCCTGGTGAACCATCTTCTCCCTGTTCATTCCTTCCACTATTCAAGTAGTAATACTGTTTTGCCATTATACATAAAGCAAACCCAGAAACTTCCAGAACTGCATTATTGACCACAAAATTTAAATTTCTTAATACAGAAGACAACAGTCTCCAAAATGCGCTTTCCTACTTCAGAATTATTTTTTATCACTATTCTGTTTGGAATCTATTCATTTATTCAAAGGTCAGCTTAACAGCATTTAGTTGTCTTTATAACTCCATACACATTTATTCACCAAAAGCAGAATAAACTGCTGTCTTCAACCTACTTGGCATACTCCTATTAGTTCATCCTATTAATCTCAAAAGATACAGTGCTTTGAGGGCAAGAACCTGATCCACACCTTTTACTTTTCAGGGTACATGACACAATAACCCAAGACCCTAAATACATATTTGTTGTCAGTTTGGGTCTATGCCACATTGGGTCTATGTGTTTAATCACTCTGTCAATGAGAATTACTATTTACCATCTCACTCTGACTTCCTTAAGGTTCGTGTTATGCAGCATCTATGGAAGCATAGATGAAGTAACCTTGTTTCTTTAAAAAAGAAAATATCTAACTTAAAGGTAATCAAACTTCTAGACCTAAGCTCCAGTCTACCGAAACTTCTGTTTGAAAAAAGAAAATTAAATGACATCATAAGGGAAAAGTCAGACAGTCCAAAATGTGAGACTCTCTAAAACAAAAGTGTCTTGGACTGTTAAAAATATTTTTCGTGGAAATGTGTAGCATACACACAGCCACTCTAGAAAACTTTTAAAAACCTACACATGCAACCATACAACCCATCAATTACACTCCTGGGTATTTATCTCAGAGAAATGAAAACTAATATCACACAAAAATCTATACACAAACACTTATAAGTTTTGTTTGTAATAGCCCAAACCAGAATCAGCTTAGATGTCCTCTCACAGGTAAATAGTGCAGTACAAAATACCTTGTAATACTGGTCAGCAATGAACCATTGATACACACACTGGGATGAAATTGACAGGGAATTATGCAGGGCAGAAAAAAAGGTAATCCCAAAAGATAATATACTGTATGATTAAATTGATAATATTATTGAAATGACAAAATTTTCAAAACAGAAGACAGATTAATGGTTGCCAGGGGTTAGAGTCAGGGGTACAAGGGTACACTGCAGAAGTGAGATGGGCATGGTTAAAAATGATAACATGAAGGAATTCGTGGAATTGTTCTATATTTTGGCTGTGATGACCAATACACAGATTTACACAAAAGATACAACTGTATAGAAATTAAAACTCAGAAAATCCAAATAAGATGGGTGGGTGATCCATTTCAACATCCTGGCTGTGACATTAATACTACAGTTTCACAAAGTGTTATTGGGAGACACTGACAAAGTATACAAAGGATCTCACTATATTATTATTATTTTTTATAATCAATTGATTCTGTTCGTCTCCTTGAAAATTCTCATTTAAAAATGTTTTGGAGGGGGCTGGAGTTGTGGCTCAGCAGTGGAGTGCTCACCTAGCATGTGTGAGGCACAGGGTTCAATCCTCAGCTCCACATATAAATAAATAAAATAAAGGTATTGTGTCCATCAACAACTGAAAAAATATTTTTAGAAAATGTTGTGGAGGGGGAAAAAAGGTAAGGAAACCAATTTAAACTAAGAGATAAGGGAGACAAAACCAAAAATAAATGTGTACACCTTGACTACACCTTCAGAAACAAATGGGAAAATCTGAGAATGGACTGGATATTAGATATTATAGAATTATTGTTTTCCAACTGTTTTAATAGCATTGTACTTACACAAACAAGTGTCCTTATTTTTAGAGCCACATGCTGAAATGCCATGATTTTAGCAATTTATTTTCAGGACTTTGAAACAAAAAAAAAGAACATACAAAGAAAAGACAAATGATGCAAATTGTTAACAATGATTAAATCTAGGTTGATCTATATTAGTTACTGTTATACTGTCTCTCAACATTCTGTTTTGATCAATTTCAAATAAAAAGCCCTCAGGGTTCACCTAGCTGTGGCTTTTTCTGGGGGCCCCATCTCCACCGGTGGAAATCCCATACATCCTATAAACTTCTTGCTCACAGCATCCTATTAATCTGACCCACAATTCCCTCCTAGGTTCTTCTATTCCTATGCCTACCTATGGCTAACTACATTACATGAGCCTCTAGAAGGCTACCACTGTTTTTGTTTGTTTATTTGTTTGTTTGTTTTTTGTCTTCCCACAACCTAAACCTCATCCTTAGAGAATCTAATTCAAATATGTCTGATATTCTCATCTATAGTCATAGTGATCTGCCTTGATCACAGTGAGATTATTCCCTAAATCCTGGGGCATTCATTTGCAATAAAATTTCTTTCCTGCTTCCCAATCATCATAGTCAAAGGAATCTTTAACAGACACTTAGGTTTTCCCTGATGAAGGATTTGTTCAAGTGCACCAGTGGTTCTAGGATTTTGTACCTGCCTGGGGTCATCAGGAGATTTGAAGTCCAGGTCATATTTCCCAGACCTGAAAGAATTCTAAGACAACCATACTCATGCCAGCTTTCCCAGTTGCATTCCATAGCAGCTCCAGGCTTCTTTATTCTCTAGGACTTTAGGAGCAAATTTAGCAGCTCAGACAACACATTTGCTATCTTATAGTTCTGAGTATCAAGTCTGATGTGGGGTATCATAGGGCCAAAATCAAGAGCTGCATTCCTTTCTGGAGGCTCTAAGAAAAGATGTTTCTTTGTTCATCTGGGATGTTGGCAGAATTCAGTTTCTTGCAGGTTTGGGACCAAGATCTCTGTTTCCTTGCTGACTTTTGGCCAAAGGTTTTTCTCTATTCCTCTGAGGACACTCACATTCCTTCTCTCACAGACCTCTCCTGCATCTTCAAATCAGCAACATCACAACTAGCATCTCTCTCTCTCTTTGACCAAGACATGAAGGTTCTCTGCTTTTAAGACTCATAAGATTATACTAGGTCATCTGGATAATACAGAATACTCTCCCATTTCAAGGCTCATTACCTTAATCTCGTCTACAAAATCTCTCTTGCTGTATAAGGTAATATATTCACAGATTCCAGGGATTAAGACATAGACATCTTTAGTGGCCACTGTTCAACCTATCCCAATCCTCCAGTAGCAGAGCCCCCATATTTCTCCTTGGTGACAGACTTCAGGTATGATAAGCCTCAGCAATAATGAGCATGGCTTCCCTGCAGTTTGCTGACAGGGAAGATCATGAACCCCTATACTGCCCACCTTGTTCAGCATGAGAATCATGCAGACAGCAGGGAAAACTGGAACTGGCAGAATGACTTCCGAGTTGCCAGGATTCACAGTTCTGTGACAGCAGGGCAAACAGCTGTTTAGCAGCTCCAGCCTTACCAACAGCAAAAGACATTTCTACATGGTGCTGCCATCAGAATCAGACCGCTTCTCAGGGCCATCTGTCTCCGTTATCAATTTATCAGTCCTCTTCTATTCCACAACCTTTATTGCTTGCTAATCAGTTCAGGCACAATAGTTTTATGGATGTGCTGAACAGCCTTTAAGTCACCTCTTCACCCAGCAAATTTTATCATTGTCTTGAGCTGTTGAATCTCACAAATGCCAGGTGAGGAACCACTGGATACAGCCCTGAAGATACCTTTTTCAGTGCAGGATCCACCTCAAGAGTAGGATTTCCTAGAAAGCCAAAGATCTCTCCAGCAAAGAGTTTGCGAATAGGGATGGTGAATTTCTATCCTATTTCTTGTTACTCAAAACAAGAAACAAGAAAGGATACTGCAGCGGTCAATCAGAAGTGTTAGCTCAACAAGCTCACAGGCCTCCTGAGCATCTGACTGGCTCAGCTTCTCTTTTGCTATGTATGTTTTTTTTTTTTTTAATATTTTTTTAGGTGTCAATGAACATTTATTTTATTTATTATATGTGGTGCTGGGAATTGAACCTAGGGCCTCACACGTGCTAGGCAAGTGCTCTGCCACTGAGCCACAACCCTAGCCCTGCTATGTTTGTTTTTTAAAGTTCCCTAACCAGATATGGAAATCACTGGTACAAATTTCAAAGGAAAATTAACATTTTAGGTTATAAAATTTTCAAACAAAAAGATATACTTCCATTTTATTAGCCATAAGAAAAGCATCTTTCAGGCTAAATTACATCATATTATAATTATTTCATGACACACAACCACTAAGCCAGATTCAAAGAAGACAAGTTTCATATTTCAATTTGTTCAATAAGGAGACATCAAAAATAAATAATGAAGGCCTTTTTTTCCCTTCTAGCCTATTCCCTAAATTTAACACCAAAGTCATGGGTTTTCCAGAATTAGTGCTTTTTCAGATAATGCTTATGAAAATAACTAATTTGAAAGAATAAAAAATAAACTCTTTTACCTGCTGGTTTCTGGCTCATTATCTCCTTTGTCATTAAGATGATAATACTATAGAAATTAATGTTTAAGTATAAATTGAGGTACAAATTTAACATTTTCCATAATTTTGAGAAAATTTCCAGTATTATATAACAAAAAACAACTAAAAATACACATATAAAATACACTTATAAAAATACACTTAAAAACAAAAATGGAAAAAATACTGCATCAGTATTCCTTTGAACATGAGTTGGTATTATGAAGAGGCTTTGATTTCTGTATCAGGGTATTCATCCACATCAGAGAAGAACATTAACTCTGGAGAAGAAAATGGAGAGATCATATTTAAAAGTGGTTTCCCAGTATCTCACAAAGATTTACAAAGCTTAGTTATAAACAGACTCTTAAAATATTGCCATAATACATAGTAACACAAACCCTCAAGTACAAGTAAGAATTCTTGACAGTGAAATCTGATTTAAAAAGTGAGCTAATAATAAACTTACAAATTTTACTTTTTTTTCTTTTTTTTAGTTGTTGATAGACCTTTATTTTATTTATTTTTAAAGAATCAAACCCAGTGTCTCACACATGCCAGGCAAGTGTGCTACTGCTGAGCCATAGCCACAGCCCCACATTTTACATTTTTAAATGTTTAAGTTTTAAATTTATCATAAAGCCTGAAATAAAACTATATAATATAATAGAAAATATATTAAGTCTTAACAGGAAATTTAATTCACTAGACAGGATCATTGTACAGATAAAAAGTCTAATTTTATAGTGATCATATAATCTAAAGTGTAAGGAACATATATGAAGGAAGGACTTGGAACTAATATTAGGTGTGTAGTAGGGTATGTTGAATGTGTTATTCCATTGGATCACCAAAACAATCCAATAAGCTAGGCATTGTCCTCATTCTATATTTATTCTCTATTTAGAATATATGTTATATGACTCACATGGCCCTAAAAAAGAGCAGGTTTCTAGATATATTTACTGTACAATACATACTTTATGATTTAGACTGAATATTGCACAAGCCAGCCAGATGTATCTTTAGTCCCAACCACAGCATAGGATGGTATCAGTTGAGATTTTTTATAATTAAACTATTACTTAGCATAGATAATGTAATTCATCAAAATGCCAAGAAATATAAAAAAGAAAACTGAGAATCTAGTAAAATAGATTCCTCTGATGTAAGTAACTAGATGAAAAATTCTTTGAATAATCAAAACTATACTGAGAGAAAAACAACAAAATATATAGAGCAGAAGACTTTTAAAAAATATTTTAAGTACATCAAAATGAATAAAGCAACAGGATATTTACTGGAGCAACTTGAGAATTGCAACGCAAAAGGTACACTTATGAATGAAAATACATAAGAAGATAATAGTCTTTGTCCTGGCTTTTATAAATAAAAATGATGGGAAGATTCTCCATTCTCACACTTCTGGGACAAACAAATTGTATTAATCAATCAAATAAAAAATAATAACCAAATTCCATAAAATATCCACAAGAAAGATTTAAGGGTAGAAATGTAGAACACCTGTCAAGGAAGTGCAATGTGCACTACTAAGCAGTTCCTAATACATGCTGCTAGGCTAGCAGTCTGCTAGCACTCTTCTTGTCAGGTGTTCAAAAAGGGCCTGGCTGTAAAGATTAGTAAATCTCACTAGACACTGGGCATGTTAAAGGTAAGATAACTAAATACTATGTTAGACCATGAAGGGTTAAGGATTTGTGCCAACAGCAAAGAAAACAATCAAGATTGCAAAGAGAGAGCCTACTGAATGGGAGAAAATCTTTGCCACCTGCACCTTAGATAGAACATTAATCTCCAGGATATATAATGAACTCAAAAAACTTAACTAAAAAACAAATAACTCAATCAATAAATGGGCAAAAGAACTGAGCAGACACTTCACAGAAGAAATAAAAATGGTCAACAAATATATGAAAAAAATGTTCAACATCTCTAATAATTAGAGAAATGCAAATTAAAACTACACTGAGATTCTATCTCTAGTCAGAATGGCGATTATCAAGAATATAAGTAACAATAAATGTTGGTGAAGATGCAGGGGAAAAGGTACACTCATACATTGCTAGTGGGGCTACAAATTGGTGCAACCAGTCTGGAAAGCAATATGGAGATTGCTCAGAAAACTTGGAATGGAACCACCATTTGACCCAGTTATCCCACTTCTCAGTATATACCCAAAGGACTTAAAATCAGCATAGTACAGTGGTGCAGCCACATTAATGTTTAAAGCAGCCCAATTCATAATAGCTAAGCTATGAAACCAACCAAGGTGCCCTTCAATAGATGAATGGATGAAGAAAGGGTAGAGCACTGGCCTAGCATGTGAGAGGCACTGGGATCAATTCTCAGGACCACATATAAATAAATGAACAAAATAACTAAAAACAGGTTTTTTTTAAGTTTCTTTAAAAAATGTGGTATATATACACAATGGAATATTACTCAGCCATAAAAAGAATGACTTTATGACTTTTGCTGGTAAATGGAGGGATCTGAAGACTATCAATGCTCACTGAAATATGCCACATATATGTGACAATAGAGTGTATTTTGACATATTATACAAATATGGAGTATGACTTATTCTAATTTCTAATTAATTATTTAGATTATGTCACATATATCTAAAAAGAACAAATTTTTTAAAGAGGAAATATCCACAAGCAAATGTTCCAAAAAGTCTGAGTAGAGTCTGTGAGCTACATTATGACTGTGTCCCGCTTTCCCAAACATCACTTCTGCTCCCCTTATACAAAGAAGTCAAAAGGCAAGCCTAGTTTCAAGGAAAATGTAATTACACCCCATCTTTCAATGAGAAGAGTAGCAGTCTTTATAGTCATCTCTAACTTACCACATAAAATAAATAAATATACTAAAAAAATTTAAAGAATTTTTGCCAAGTAGAGGAAGTGATAAGAATAATTTATTTGAATATGTATCTGACAGAGACAATATGGATAAAGCACAATTTATTTTAAGTTTAGAAATACTTTCATCAGAAAGATACTAAGAATAGCAAAGAACAAAGAATTTCTATAAATTACTTGAAGATTCCAAGAGGAGAAATACCTTTTGATTATGCAAAAGTTCAGCAGATGCCCCCCCATTCATTTCCACCCTCCCGCTCTCTAGGTCCTTCTCCATGCTTCTCCTGTCACTCTGTTAGACCACTTTATTTTTACTCTTTTTGAACTATTTTATTTTGAATATATCTTTGTTTTAAAATATTATAAGATTTATGAAATAATTAGAGAAGATTTCAGGATATTTTGTATCATTTTCTCTTGAATACCTTCACTAAGATCCATGCCTGGCCTATAAGACAAAAAAAGCCAAGATAATCCAACAAGAAGAGCCACCACCAGATTCACCACAATCCATGGCTGGAGAATCTGTTCCTCAATTCCTGCTGCCCTGGAGATATAGAAACACTCATTAGAAACATCTTTATTTTGGTTTATATACCCAAATGCGGTTATTTTACGAATTTGGGGTGGGGGAAGCAGTAAAATAACAAAACATGAAATAGAATATAACTTCCCTATGAAGTACACTATATACATCAGGAGAATAAGGTTCAAAGGTTATTCAAACTGTAAATAGATCTGCTGTTAACATTAACATAAATGGAAAGTTAGTGTTCCCAAAATGTTTCCTAAAAGTTTCCCTTCCAACTACCATGACCTTTTTCTTCAATTTAGTATCTTTCCCATTCCCAAGCCACTCTCCCAAGGACTGTCCCTCTGAGTTTAAACTCGAACCTCAGGGTCCTGTCAGCTCTATGTTTGGCCACTAATCTGCAAACATTGGCTCTCCCTACTCTTCTCTTTCTAGCATGCTTGGTTTTCTGAATCTATTCCAACCACTCTCTTCCATCCAGTCCATCACATGATGACTTATTTTAAAGATCTAATTTTTAAAAAAATTTTTTTAGTTGTAGATGGACACAATATCTTTATTTGATTTATTTTTATGTGGTACTGAGAATCAAACCCAGTGCCTCACACATGCTAGGCAAGCACTCTACCACTGAGCCACCACCCCAGCCCCCTAAATATACTTTTGAAAAGAAGACATTTTATTTAAAATGGAGGCATTTATAACAATAGCTATCAATTAACCAAAGGAATAGGGATTTCCTTTCCTTATTTTTGGAAATCAAAACAGGGTCTTAATATTATTTATAAATGAAAACAAAAAGAATGGAAGGGCCAGGCACAGTAGCATACATTTGTAATCCCATTGGCTTGGGGAGGCTGAGACAGAAGAATGGCGAGTTCAAAGCCAGCCTCAGCAACTCAAGGAGGCTCTAAGCAACTCAGCAAGACCCTGTCTCTAAATAAAATACAAAAAAGGGCTGAGGATATGGCTCCATGGTTAAGTGCCCTAGGTTCAATTCCTGGAACCAAAAAAAGCATAGAAGGAAAAATTCCATTATTTCCGCTATTGCTGTTATTACCATTAACATGTTACTATAAATTCTTACCAGAGGCTACCATTAACAGAAGAAGGCGTATAAAGGTGGATTCTGTCACTTGTCATTTGCTGACTCAGAGATAGTATAAGAGCAGTCAAGTACACTGAGAAAAAGACAGATAAAATTGCTAATGATTTTTAACGACTCAAGTTTATTTTGACCTATATATTTCTTTAAGGTCAAAAATACTATATACTTTAGTGAGTGATGGTATCAAAGACATTCACTTGATCAATTTCAATAGAGAGCCTTATAGTATTTTTCAAGAACACAATACAGTCCTTTAGATGCTATTTTATCATTAAAACTAATAAGAACCTAGAAGATCTTTTAAGAAATTAAATGAACTTTCTCAAGGTTCCAAAACTAGCTCTATTAATATTCTCATAATCTAGAATAAAATGTATTCTAAATTACCAGAAAGATACCAAATGGTGCTTGCTACCAAAAGGTTGATTCTGTTTAATGTAAAGTTGAAAATAAAAAAAAAAAACTAAAAGTTTTTAAAAATACTAAAAATTCTAAATATAGAACACAAGTTAAACTTTTATTTATTTGTTTCTTTTTAGTGCTAGGGATTGAACCCAGGTTCTCATGTACAAATGAAACCTTTACAAGATATTTAGATGAACCTCTAGTGAAAAATAACATCAAAATTATATCTACCGTGTTTTTAATTACAAATTCACTAAACATCTATAGGTAGTGATTTCTAAGTAATAATATAAACTTTTTTAAAAATAAGATTATATTTTTCCTGGGTCAAAATTACAATATAATTCAAGTATTACATAGTTATAAAATACTCACAGAAAGACGCTAAAGCTGTTGGATCCAGGGCAAAAAAATTTCGAATTGCTACTGATGTTTTAGCAAAGTCAATTCTAGAAAATACAAAAGCTTTCATCACAGTGCAATTGTAAACTTTTAATAAAATTTACTTTTATATATTTTTTTCCTTTTTTATTCTATTACCAAATATATTGTTTAGTACTAGGCTTTACATATCTATAATTTATACTTACACAAGAATATTTTCTTTACAAAGGCCACACAAAATACCTAACTAGAAGGCTATCTTAGGAAACATTATTCTGCAGTTTAGACATACTGAAGAAACAAATTATACTTGATCTGTAAAATTCATTAGCTTCTACTTTTTTCTATTACCCATATCATTAGGTTACAAAGAGGGGTATATGTGCATTTAATGGATTATATTGCATTCCCTCCAAAAATATGGTGAACTCCTAACTTCTGGTACTTATAAACATGACCTTATTTGGAAATAGGGTCTTTGCAGATGTAATAATGTTAAAATAAGTCACCCTGATTCAAAGACTGGCTTAAAAATGGTAAAGAAATACTAATATTCTATAATTCTATTTTAAAAACTGACATACTCAGAGACACATTTCTTTCAGCATTTTCTCTTGAATAAAAGTTAGAGGAATATTTCTTCACAACATCTTACCTGTCAAAAGCTGAAACTGTACTTAAAGCCAAAAGTAAGTAAAGGAGACTCTGGAATGGATACGCTAAGGTCTTATATTGTTGCAAAAGGTTGGAGAGGTCAGACAGCTGATCTCCAGCTAGAACATATATCAGGACAATATTCCATACAGCACAGCCAGCCAAGAAGCCATGAGAAAACAGACCAATCATCCTGCATGAAAAAGGGTTAACTATTATACACAAACTACTTAAGTAAAAGGCTGAAATATTTTTAAATTTTTTCACATAAAAGAATAAAATTTGACATATTATCAAAACTAAAAACAAGACTGTGTGTGTATGTGTATGCAAGCATGTGTGTGCATGCGCTCAGTAATTGAAGCCAGGGCCTCATGCATTCTAGGCAAGTGCTATACTACAGAGCTACATCTCCAGCCCCAAGCCTGTTCTTTTTCTTTACACTAATTGGCAAGTAGTGTAACTTTATTGGAAGGCTTAAAAAATAATTTTTATAACCCATTTTAAATTGCAATTACATTAACAGAATTAAACAGCTAAGACTTTTCTTTCATTTTAAATTATGAAACCCAGTTAATATTTATCTTAAGTTCAATAAAAGCAGCCACCTAAAAGCTCGGTGTACTGAAAGTGCCACATCTCTGGTGGTCCAGGAAGGCTTCATGTCCATTGACACATCTATGTTTTCTGTGGTCTTGATCAATTCTGAACGATCAGCAGCCTGGAATCGCCCTAAACACACAGAATACAATTATGAAAAACTAGCAAGAGAGAATCTATTATTTCATACTTAAGAAGCTTCATCCTAAGACTGAAATGTTGCTGTTTTTCCATATAAAAATCTCTTTGACTCATACCTTTTTTCTTTTTTTTTTCTTTGTGTGTGTGGGGGGGTGTTACTTAATCATACAATTTCTTCATCTTTTTAAAAGATAAGCAACGTCAATGCACTTCTCAACAAATTGATGTTAAAGTAACAATTTTAGGAATCAATTATATTTAATAATAAACTTTCAACTCAAAGTCTAAAAACCTTAACATGACATAGTCTATAAAATTCAGATTTAGAGATTTAAGAAGTATTAAAGTTTAAATGCCTATACTATCAACGTTAAGCCAATATTTGAAACCAATTAATTTCTTAGGAAAAGACACCAAGATGTATAGCATGGCTTTCTGTAATGACAAAAAGAAATTAATTGTTTCATAAATCTATCTTAAGATTATCCAGAGCATATCCATAGGAGTAGGACATTGTCATGATCACACTTGGGGCAGGATTTCTTAAACATTGTAATATGAAGTGAATATGTCCCACAAAATTCATAGGCTTGAGCTCAACCCCAGTGTGCTAGTATTTGGAAGAGGTACCATGGGAAGTAATCAGGCTTACATGAGGTCACAAGGGTGGGTCCCATGTTGGGATTAGTGTCCTTTTAAGTAGAGGAAGAGACCAGAGCTCTCTCCACCATATAAAATGACATCTGCAAGCCAGGAAAAGAGCCATCACCAAAAATAGAATCTGCCAGCACCTGTCTTGGACTTCCCAGTTTCCAGAACCATAAGAAATAAGTGTCTGTTGTTATTGCAGCAGCCAAAGTTAAAATTAACTGCAAGCCCAGTCTTTTTGTTGTTGTTGTTGTTCTAATTAGTTATGCATGAGAGTAGAATGCATTTTGATACATCATAAATAAGTGAAGTGTAATTTCTCATTTGTCCGGTTATATATGATGTAGAGTTACAAAGGTCATGTAATCATATCTGCACATAGGGTACTAATGTCTGATTCATTCTTCTATCATTCCTACCCCTATGACCTTTCCCCTCCCTTCCTTCCCTCCCTTCACTCCCCTTTCTAGTCCAAAATACCTCTACTCCCCCCTTATTGTGAATTAGCATCCACATATCAGATAAAACATTTGGCCTTTGGTTCTTTGAGATTGGCTTATTTTGCTTAGCATAATATTCTCTAGTTTCACCCATTTACTGGGAAAATGCCATAATTTCATTCTTCTTTAAGACTGAGTAATATTCCATTGTATATATATATAAACCACAGTTTCTTTATCCATTCATCTGTTGAAGGGCACCAAAATTGGTTCCATAGTTTAGCTATTGTGAATTGAGCGGCTGTAAACATGATATGGCTGTGTCACTGTGGTATGCTGATTTTAAGTCCTTTGGGTATAAACTAGAAGTGGGATGACTGGATCAAATGGTGTTTCCATTCCAATTTTCTGAGGAATCTCCATATTGCTTTCCAGAGTGGTTGCACCAATTTGTAGTCCCATCAGCAATGTTTGAGTGTGCCCTTTTCCCCCATCCTCACCAACATTTATTGTTGCTTATATTCTTGATAATTGCCATTCTGACTAGAGTGAGATAGAATCTCAGTGTAGTTTTGATTTGCATTTCTCTAATTGCTAGAGATGTTGAACATTTTTTCATATATTTGTTGACCATTTGTATTTATTATTCTGTGAAGTGTCTGCTCAGTTCCTTTGCCCATTTATTTATTGATTGGGTTATTTGTTTTTTAGGTGTTAAGTTTTTTGAGTTCTTTATATATCCTAGAGATTAATGTTCTATCTGGGGTGTGTGTGGTAAAGATTTTTTTCCATTCTGTAGGCTCTTTCTTCATATTACTGTTTCCTTTGCTGTGAAGACGCTTTTCAGTTCAATTCTTGCACTTTAAAAGTCTTGTTAAGGAAATCAGTTCCTAAGCCAACACAGTATAGATTTGGGCTTACTTTTACTTCCAGTAGGCACAGGGTCTTTAGTCTACTGCCTAGGCCCTTCATCCACTTTGAGTTTTATGCATGGTGAGAGATAGGGGTTTAATTTCATTTTGCTACATATGTATTTCCAGTTTTCCCAGCACCATTTGTTGAAGAGGCTATCTTTTCTCCAATGTATGTTTTTGGCACCTTTCTCTAGTATGAGATAACTGTATTTATGTGGATTTGTCTCTGTGTCTTCTATTCCATACCATTGGTCTTCTTGCCTGTTTTGGTGAATACTATGCCATTTTTGTTACTATATCTATGTAGTATAAGCGAGCATCTGGTATTGTGATGCCTCCTGCTTCACTTTTCTTGCTAAGGATTGCTTTGGCTATTCTGGGCCTCTTATTTTTCCAGATAACTTTCATGATTGCTTTTTCTATTTCTATGAAGAATGTCATTAGAAACTTAACAGGAATTGAATGAAATCTGTATAACACTTTTGGTAGTATGGTCATTTTGATGTTAATTCTGCCTATCCTAGAACACGGAAGATGTTTCCATCTTCTAAGGTCTTCTTTAATCTCTCTCTTTAGTGTTCTGTAGTTTTCATTGTAGAGGTCTTTTACTTCTTTTGTTAGATTGAGTCCCCATTTTTTTTTTTTGAGGCTATTGTGAATTAATTAGAAATTAATTAGAAATTAGGAATTAGTTTTCCTAATTTCTCTTTCAGTGGATTCATCACTGATGTAGAGGAACACATTTGATTTATAGGTGTAATTTTTTTATCCTACTACTTTGCTAAATTCATTTATTAGTTCTAGAATGTTTCTGATGGAATTTTTTGGATCTTCTAAATATAGAATCATGTCATCAGCAAATAGTGATTGTTTTGAGTTCCTCTTTTCATATCTGTATCCCTTTAATTTCTTTCTTCTAATTGCTCTGGCAAGCCCAGTCTTACAAGCAGTACATGCTATACAACATCAGAACTATTTTTCCAAAAAATATATATTTAGCTACAAAGTTGTATTTCTTATTCAATATGGTAGTATCATCATGTAGTTTCTCTTTTGTTTTTACTTGAGTTATACTATTACCTGCCCTACTACCATAACCACTACCAATTGACAAAAACTGATTAAGAACAATAAAACATGAAGAAATGGTGGGGAATAGGGGGAGATATAAAAATTACTCATAACTCACAATGAACCAGCATTAATATTCTGGTATATTTCCTTCAAGTCTTTTGTCCTATGCATTTTTCTATATTTGAGATCAAACTGTGTATATGTATGTGGGAGATAATTTTTCATTAGAATCTTCCCATGAAATGAAAAATTCTCTCTGAAGATTTTAATACCACAAAATAGGTTATTATAGACAAAGCCTAGCCTTCTGAAATCACTCCCCTTATTTTACATTTAGGGTTGTCCAGTTTTCACTCTCCTGATAAAGTGTGGTGATAAATTCAGTATATAAATTACTGTCCACATTTTTTTCAGATTGCAGAAATATAATTAGAAGGTCAAAGGATTTCCTTACATAATTTTTAAAGAGGTAATGTTACAAAATAAGAAACACTTACGGCTTTTTTCCACAAATACTTTGCCTACAGGCTGGCTAATTCCAGTGGGTGCAGTGAATCTGGATTGTTGTTCTGAAGTTGTTTGCTCATCAGTAATTATGTCTTCATCTTCTACTCCTAGTTCATTGGCATACTGTAACTGTGCTCTCTGGGTTTTCCTGTAATCAGGGAGAACATTAGGTTAAAAAAAAAAAAAAAGGATTCTTGAATTTTTAAAGAGTCCAAGACTTAGAGTCAAGAAATAGTTTTTTACTCAAATGAGTAAAACATTTCTCTGGGCCTCAGTTTTCTCATCTGGAAAATGTAGATATTTCCAGACTTAAAATTATATGATTCCATATATAAATCAATCACTTTGTAGGGTCACTTTCAAATAAAAATATGTTACATAACTTTCAGGGTATTTCTTACATCATTCTATTTTACCCAAGACAATCTCCTGTGCTAAAACACATAGTATTACTATTGTTAAAATAATCATAATTCAAATTCTATTAACATGAGGAGATAAATCAAATGGCCTAATTTATTACCTTTAATATCTAATTTTTTGTAATTTATATAAAACAGTCTATTATTTCTTAGAGATGACTCCTTAGGTTTTTATTTAAGTACAATATTGATTTTTTTTCCTTTCTTAGTTTTTACCTCTTTTCAAATTTAATAGTAGGTTGGTCTGATATTTCATAATGCTAGAGATATACCAAAAAATATTGACCTAATAAGAAACTACCCTTGGTAGCTCTGAATTAAACATCTGAATAATCCTAGAGAAGATTTGGAAGGATAAATAAACTATTACTTTGTCTTCCTTCGTGGTTTTGGAATAACAGCCTCCTCAGCTGGCTCTGCATCAATACCATTTTCATTTCGTAATAAAGATGGATTAGATGTCTTCTTCTGAGTGAAAGAAGTCTCCAGCTCTGAAAATAAAATAAACTATATTTTCAATGACTAAAAGGTAACAATAAAAGTAATGTACAAGACTCTTGTAAGACAAGAGAATTTTAATGGGGCTAAATTTTTTTTTTACTCTTACAAATTCTTAATTTCTGAAAGCTGACATCTATAAATTCTCAACATCTAATTCAAGATAGCAATGCCAAAAAGACGGATAAGAGTTAAGTGATCTTAACACCCAGAGTTGGGTTATCTCCAGGTCTAGTGATTTGCTAGAAAGATTCACACAACTCAGAAGCCATGACATGCACTACTACAGTTTATTACAGCAAAAGAATAAAGTAGACAGTGCAAAGTTCAGACAAAATCAGGTATAAGATTCTAATAGTCCTCTAATAGTAGCATCAAACAGGATGCATTAATTCCTCCAGAACTGAGTTATCACAACACATGGGGTCTACTCCCTGCCATAGAGACTTAGTACCCAAGGTTTTCATTGAGGGCTAATCAATAGGCTTAGCACATGCCAAAATTCCAGATTCCCAGGAGTTCAGCATAAACTATATTTCATGCACAACTGCACAATGAGCTACCCTTATAGTTTTATGTCAGCGTAAAGAAGTGCTTACCATCTAAGTTCCCATATACTAAAGACCAATCTCACAAGCAAGCCTTGCTAAGAATAGCAGTATCAACTCTCTATGTTAACTCCTTTCTGCACCCAAGGTAGGTATTACGTTTAAATGAGTCAACAGAGACTTCTAACCTTCTAGCTACTCTTCCTTCCTGGAAATATTGGCTCCCAAGAATGCCCTTAAATCCATTCAAATTCAATTTGAATAAAACAATTCTATCCTCAGCTGGAAAGACTATATAAGCAGTGGATCCTACAGTGATCACTCTAAGCAAAAGAAAACAAAATTTTAAAATCTTGCAATTCAGAAAGCTCAGCCTGCAAGGTGGAGTACACTCAGGATAGTGACAGGTCTTTACTGAATCCAAGCTTAGTTGGATCCTGAGTTTTCTGAAATTGGTCATTTCTGTTACAGACATTTTTTTTTTTTTTGCAAACTATAAAACTTGTTATTAATATCCATCTTAATTTTCAAATCTGCCTATCAATTGAATTACAAAAAGGGTAGCTTTTATTAAACTATATTTGGAGTCAGTGATAAATCATTTCACTGAAATAAAACTCTGGGAATTGTTCCTGGTTTGTTTTTCCTTCTGCTCTCTTCTGCTTTTGCCTTTTCCTCATACTCCATACTCCAGGCTCTGTGGCATCCACTTCAACTTGTCTTCCAAAACTGTGCTGCATTCCCCTCTCTTTTCTATTATTTTTTTATCCTATTATTTTTTACTCCTATTTTTTTTATCCAATCAGGACCTGCTATTTTATAAGAGGACAATTAATTAGGGAAACTAAATTGTAATAAGTTACTCACAGGGGCTGATGTTAAAAGGAGAGCATTAATCTCACAATCTTATGCTCTTCCCTTTGTTTTACACTAACTAAACCTGTTTTCTTTTTTTCTATTATAAAAGCCATACATACCTCTATGTGAAAATTAGTACAATATAAATGAAAAAAAATAAAATCACTTTTCTTTTTGAAAAACTTTCACTTTTTTTATATACTTTTATTTTATTTGTTTATTTTCACATGGTGGCGAGGATTGAACTCAGGGTCTCACATGTGCTAGGCGAGTGCTATACTGCTGAGCCACAACCCCAGCCCCAAACCTTTCACTTTTAACACTGCTATATTCTTCCAATTCATTGTATATGTGTAAATGGAATTGTGCATTCAAAAAAAAAATTTCAAGTCCTAACTCCAAGAAACTGTCAGTATAACTTTATTTGGAAAAACGGTCTTTGCAGATATAATCAAGTTAAGATGAAGTGAGGAGGTAATACTGGATTAGGATGAACCCTAAATCTAATGACCCATTTCTTTATATTTAAAGAGGAAAATTTGGACCCAGATACACAGGGGAAAATGTGAAGATGGAGGCAGAGATTGGCATTTTGCTGCCACATAATGCTAGAAAGACTCACAGAACTCAAAAGTCATGACACACACATTAAAGTTTATTACAGCAAAACAATAAAAAAGTAGACAGAGCAAGGTTAGACAAAATCAGGTTCAAGATTTCAATAGTCCTCTAATAGTAGAGGATTAATTCCTCCAGAACTGAGTTATGTCTACACATGGGGTATATTCCCTGCCACAGAGACTCAGCATGCAAGAATGCCAAGGATTCTTAACAATCACTAGAAGCTAGAAGATGCAAGGAAGGATTCATCGTAGAGCATTTAGGGGAAGAGCAGCCCTATCTGTGGACACCTTGATTTCATATTTTTATCGTCCAGAATACATTTCAGTTAAGCTATCCAATTTGTGGTAATTTGTTACCCGACCCCAGGAAACTAATCTGTTAAAAAAAGTTGGAATCCTCCAATGCATACTATTTTGTAACCTCTGTTTGGGATTTACCAATAGTCAGTTTTCCATATCACTGTTTCACTTTAACAATTCTTTTAAAGAAATAACTGGTTTCCGTTTATTGGCTAAATCATGTTTATTTATAGTATCATGTTGTTAAGTATTTGGTTATTACCATTTTCTACTCTTAAAATAATGTTGCTGATAACATTCTTTCATTACCATAGCTATTAGGGTTGTTTTATTTCTAGCAATCCGGACAGGCTATGTCAGTTTACACTCCCATCAGTGTTTGAGTCCATTCCTCTAAACACTGGGTTTTCTAATTTGAAAACAATCATTGCCAAAAAGCATTACCAAAAAAAAAAAAAGAAAGATGATACAGTATTCTGTTTACCTTGTGAACAATTCATAGAATAAAGACTCAATAAGTGTCAGCTAGTGTTTTCATTATATTATCATTAACACAGAAGTTATGCTTTCTTCACTAATCTAAAATGTCTATTTCTTTCTTTTTTTTTTTTTTTTTTTTTTGCAGTACTGGGGATTGAAGTCTGGGTCTTTTTAATATTTTGAGTTTAAGCCTGGCCTTAAACTTGATCCACCTGCCTAAGGTTCCTGCGTCTACTGGGTTTACAGGGAAGTACCACCACACCTGGTATCACTTACTAAATTCTTATGTATACCAAGATCTGAATTTTCTGTTTTAGTCCTAAAGTTGTACATGTATTATCAAAAGAGGCCTGTAACATGTTCCTGACTGAAGTCAATGGAGTTGTAGTGGTAAATATTTTAAGAAAGAAAGCAAGAAAACACCTGTGAGAAATGGATGGGGGAAAAATGAGGGTAGATATGTTATTATCATACCCCCACTCACAACTGCTAACATATAAATGAAGAAAATAAAAATCATCCTTCCTTCTTAAAAATCTACCACTGTTAACATGCTACGTCCTTCCATTCTTTGTGTTTGTGTGTGTTTTCTGTGTCAAATTGTGCTCCCCCCAACAAAAAAAAAAGGAAAAGAAAAAAATGTTTTCAAGTCCTAACTTCCAGAATCTATAAGTATAACTTAATTTGGAAATAAGATCTTTGCAGGGGCTGGGTTTGTGGCTCAGTGGTAGAGCATTTGCCTAGCATGTGTGAAGCACTGGGTTCAATTCTCAGCACCACATACCAATAAATAAATTTTAAAAAAGATCTTTGCAGATATAATCAAGTTAAAATGAGGTAATGCTGGATTAATTTTCTTGGTTCTTCACATACCAAGAGGTAGCCTCGTCTTCCTCTGTCTCCTTTGAACAGGAGCTTCTGGATGCTCTTTGAGTTCATTAGTTGGTGGCTCAATGCCCTCAGATGATCTATGAACAACAGTCTCATCAAAACCTTCCAAAGAAGCACTAGCTACAGGGGAAAACAGAGCAGGAAAACATGGGTAACTTGAACAGAGATTAATCAGTCTTTAAAAGATAGGAAAAAGATTAACTAAAATGTTTCCTGCAAAGTAACACTTTCTCTTTCAGAATTGGGCCTCAAATCTTATTTTCTTCCTCCTCACTTGTAACTTTAGACTTTAAGTTAAGCAAACATATAAATGAGGAAATAAGAAAGGCTGAGGAAGAAAAGAGTAGGGGAGGGCTAGAAAGAAGAATACTAGAAGGGGAGAAGGACAAAATGGTTCAGAATATTTAGAATTATCAAAAAGGTAAAAATATTATAAAAGTTGACACCATAGAGAACTCTTCTACTTGTCTCCTGCCTTAAGAATTTTTATCAGCCTCTAATCCTTCATTATTAACCCATAATGAAGTCATCACAGATAATTAATCGGATAACAGGTAATTTATAAATCTCTTCATTTGTTCATTCATTTCAATCTCTCCCCTCATGAAATATTTTAACAGGATTTCAATAATTTCACTTGACTACATTTGCTTGCCTATCTTCTTTACAAAAAGAAGAAATAGAAATGTATTAATAAGCAAATTAAAATATATAACCTCACTAGTATTTGAGAAATGCAAACTAAAATAAACTACTTTTCACCCCATTGAATTAATTTTGAAATTAATCAAGTGAAATTTAGAAAATATAACACTCTTAAACTCTATTGGTGGTGAGAAAATAACTAATGCTTCGGTGAAAGCAATTTAGCAGAATCTATCCTTTCAGTACATTGCTGGGATCTTGTCTCTACCTGATTTGTGAGTTTTGTCACATCTCACGTCCTGAGGAAACCTGTGATCCCATGCTAAAAAGAACGTCTTACCTAGTGTAGCTTTGGTTCTGGACTTCTTTCTTTTAGGACGACTTTGTGAAACATCATCTATAAAACAAAGAACATCAACAGAAAAGCCTACCTAAAATTCAATGCAGAGGAGAGTCAAAAGAGAACTGTTGGTTGGGAATATTTTCCCTCTCTTCCCTGGATCCAGCTAACTTCTACACATTAGAAGGGAAAGGCAAGAAACTGACAAGGTCAAAGAGAACCCATAGGGTGGCATCAGTAGTACACTGATCAGTAATGTCAGAAACAGTGATAATAGAAAGTGAGTTTAACAAACGTTCATCTGACTTCCAAGCCTCTTGCACTTAGGTGTGGCCTCTGATGGGTTATAGTCAATGGGCTATGAGTAGAAGGGATATATATCTGCCTCTGGTTCTACAACCCTGAAGGTGCCTGATCTTGTCTGACTTTAAAAGCTAAACAGATAGACCTGGTTAGCACTTGAATGGGAGAAATAATCTGTGTTACATGGAGGCCAAAACACTGAAAAAGTCATCTGCTATGTTAAGAGCAGCATGTTAAGATTAAAAAAACAAAAGATAGAAGTAACCAGGATTTCATATCATTATTGAAGAGGAAAAGGAGGGCAACTTTGTTGCCACAATGAACTTTGCAATTAACCTAATACTATTTCTAATAATCCTACATGATATTAAGTCACTGAGATTTGAAAGTGGTTAGTGTAGTATGATCTTTCCTATGCTGACTAAACGAGGGGGCAAAAAAAGGGCAATCTATCTTACAGTTATAAACTAGTCAACAGTTATGTTCTGGGTAACTTCTTTCAGGGATGAAGTGCTCTTATAATAAAGCAATCTGGTGTCATACATCATTCATAATTAATAAATGGAAGATGATTATGACTAGTAGATACTATAGTATTATCAATGACACTATTCAGATATAATTTTAAGAGAAACAAACTAAGAAATCAAACTGATTTTTATTTTTGTAGCGAGAGAGAGCACTTATTTTTGGGATATGGTCTGTGTTGCCCAGGCTGGCTTGTACTCCCAGGCTCAAGCAATCCTGCTGCCTCAGCCTCCCAAATAGCTTAGACTAGAGGTGTATATCCCCATGCCCAGCTTTCAAACTTATGTTTGAACACCAAAAACTATATTTAGAAAATTTTATATTAACAGCAAACTAACTCACCTTGAACAGCACTTCATATGACACCAACCAAATTTAATCAGCACAACAAAGACAAGAAAGGAAACCATTAATTAGAAATTTATTGCATGAATGAAAACTGACTTAAATCATTACAAATTTAAAGTAAAAATAGTTTTTATAATGTCAGCTAGTTATAAACTACCTTATCAGTAATAACTAATAAGCCTTTTAATTGCACTGCTAATAAAATAACCCCCAAATTTTCCTGAATATATTCCTTGCTGTCTATTAATAAAGTGGATTAAGCAGATTAAGAACTCTTATTTGTCACTGACTAAAATCAGCTTAAACTCTGAGGAAACTATTCTAGCAAACAAAAGAGGATCAAAATTCTGATAAACAAGACACTAAAACATTCAGAATGGATTTATTGTTCTATCATGTTGATATTCAGGCTTTCAAATAGAACTTTTAATTATAACTGTTATTTTCATGATTCAAGGATTTTTTTTTCCTTTAAAACTTTAGGAACCCTTTTCCTAAAATGTTCAGGAAGTTTTCTCTGAAGCATCATATTTTTTTCAATGGTACTAGTCAATTTTTCCACTTTACTCATTTTACATTTTTAAAACTCAATAATGAAATTAGTGAGATTTTTACCTTGGTGCAGGTGGAAGTGCTCGTGGAGGACGCTATTGGAGAGGGGAAGAAAGAAAATTGCTTGTAAGTAAAATCCTGGAGCATCTTACCATCATGTATCTCAAGTACCATAAAGCTATCCTCTAAAAAGCCTATTGTTCAGACACAGCAGGAAAATATAATGGATCAGATGAATATCCTCAAATCTTTTGATAACTGTGTTCATCAGCAAAACCTGGGAGGTACTGATATAAATCAGATGGGTCAGTGTAAATTTGTTCTACCATTTCTAAATTTCACATAAAATTCTTTCCTTCTTACATTTCTTTCTGTCCACAAGCCAGGCCCCATTTTAAGCATTAGGGATGGGAACAAAAGAGAGATCACTGCTTTTCTGAGCCTACATTGTAGTGATTAAGCATTAGAAGATAAAGTATATATAATAAAATACACATTTTATGATAAAATATGTAGATATGTATATATCTACATGTTATATATGATAAAATGTATATCTATATATGATAAATAAACATATATATGATTTTAAAATGAGGAGTGCTACTTAGGGAAAAGTTTCTCTGATACTTGAGCTAAGACATGAATGAATAAGGTAATGGGCAGCAAATGCTAAATCCTTCGGGCAAAACTAAGCAAGGCTGCAGCACAGTTATCAAGAACATGTAGGAAGGAATCCGATTAATTAGGGCCTTGAAGACAAAGGGAAGAAATCTGGATTTTGTTTGAATTAAATGGGAAGCCAGTGGAAGTTTTAAGCCACATGGTAATATGCTTTTTAAAAAAATCACTTTGAATACAGTTTAGAATGGATTTTTCGACAAAAAAATGGGGGTGGGCTCAAATATGCTGCTATACATGAATAAAAAAGTGTGTGCAGTTCAGAAAGTACTACAGTTAAGAAGCATTCTGAAATATTTCAAAAATAAATACAGAAATGCCTACAAGCGAATTTAATATTCCAGGTAGCTCATGCTGCTTGCAGAAGACACTGATTCCAAAGGGTTACATTTTAGACACCCTGGTAGTCTGTCCCATTCAGCACACTACGTTCTATTTAGCAGTCCATTCAAACCCTAGTTTTAACACAAATGCTACAAGATTACGACAAGACAGGATGTCTTAATACTATTCCATAGTCAAAACTACAACTGGAAAAGAATGAGAGGGCAAAGTCTGGTGAAAACACTATTCTCAAGTTCTATCCAAGGACCCAGAACCCTAGATAACTGCAGCATCTCAAAAGCCCCGCAAAAAAATGACGTTTCCTCCGTACAGTAACCTAACCTCTAAGACCCTCGAAAGTAGATGGCTCAACTGAAGACAAAAGTCCTAACAGCTCCAAAGTTACTAAGGCTCGCTTACCACCTGCTTCTTCCCCATTCCGTCTTCAGCCCAGCTAGCGGCCGCTGGCCTCGGGCGCAGAGCGCCACTCTGCCGCCTGGCTGCCCGGCCTCGCGCAAGCGCAGTGCGTCATCGGGCTGCGCCTTACAGGCCGTCCAGCGCCCGTGACCCCTGAGGAAGATGTGAGGGGGACGGGGGAGCTGGGACCTGGTTTGACCTTTCCAAACCAGCACTACGGAAAAGGGGCCTCCGGATCACGGCCAAACTGCCCGGGAGCCGAGACTCCAGCGGGGATGGGGCTGCGATCACGGTTTCCCCCATGGTTGGCTAAGTGCTTGCCGTGATTTATTGTGGTGGGGGTAGGGGTAGAGAGTAGGAGAGGAGTCCTTGATTGAAAGGCTGAAAGGCCTGTCTGGGAGCTCTCGGAACCCGGGCTTTAGCTGCAGCACCGCATCCCGCCCGGGGACGGCGAAGCGACGCGTCGTCATGGCAACGCGAACTCAGGCGTCGGGAAACTTCCTGTTTGTCCCCAGCCCCTTCCCACCCTAGACAGGCTCCAGAGGCCGGTACGCACCACACGAATGCAAGGCCTCCTGATACCCGCACGCTGGAATCGGCCCTGCCCCAGGATAGCTACTGCTTTAGGGCACCGTCCGACCCGCCAGCCCCAGGGGCAGACGCGACCCTCGCCCGCTCACCGGGTGGCCCTCCTCCAGCGGAGGCCCGGCGTCGGTCCTCATGGTGCTCTCCCCCGGGCTTCTTCGAATGCAGCGGACCAGAGCCTCGCTCTCCGCGACACCGCGGCCTACGAGACCTGCGAGATGCTGGATCTTCGTGGCACCGGGCGAGGCCGCCACCCCCTGGTCCAGATCCCCGCCCGCCTCCGATTTGACAGGCGGCTGGCTTAGAACGGAAGGAATCCGTGCCTGCCTGCCTGCCTTTTTATTAAGGCGTGCAATTCTGCTTTTCTCCAAAAAAAAAATTCTGCTCACCCTCCATCCTACATCAAGTTTGGAGAAACTTTTTCTCAAAGAACCACAACATAAAATCAAATCGGATCTCACATAAGTATTAAAAAAGACAATTTTCTTCGTACTTTTTTTTTTCTTAGAAATGTTAAGGGCTGGAATTGTAGCTCAGTGGTAGAGGACTTGCCTAACACGTGTGAGGCTCTGGTTTTGATCCTCAACACCACATAAAACTAAATAAACAAAGATATCATGTCCATCAGCAACTAAAAATATTTTTTTAAAGGAAAAAAATGATGCCTTGCAGTGGGAACTTTGTCTCAGTGAAGACAGACAGGAAATCGAGTCAAGGCGAGCAGGAACATACAGGCTAAGCTTTTATTGGGCCTCTACTTGGGAAGGGAGACACAGCTCCACAAGAAATAAAAGAGCTCCTTTTATTGGCTCTTAGTAGAGATGGGGTTAGGAATGTTAATTGGCTTTAGAAACTCTTCAAACTGTGAGGTCACTTCAAGCATCTTTGCCCTGTGATAGGGATGAGTCGCCTGAAACCACCTTGGTTGTAATGATAGTGGATAAATGAGGCACATTTGTTATCTGAAAATCTGCGAGTGAAATGGGACCTTTTAATGGCTGTCAGGCTATGAGCCAAGGCCCAAGAGTGCTTTTGCCCTTTGTCCCTATGATGTCCCCTGATTATATCAGAAAGATAGCAATTTGTTATCTAAGTAAAAAAGAACCATAAATATTTTTGAATCATACACTCTGCTTTATAGTTAAAAAAGAGATTGGAGGCATGGTGTACATATGGAGAAAGAAAGTGATGCAAAAGATTAACAAATATACGGGCAGGGAGAGCAACTGAAAGTCTCAGATCTAGGAAAAGAAAGAAAAATAAGTCTTTGGAATAATATCCTCATCTTATGGTGTTCTCAGATCTACAGGACTAGTCCATCATCTTTTCCAAATTTAGGCATACATATGGATATTGGCTTTTAGGAAAATTTATGATTGTTATACCTCTGATCAGAAGAATATGTGTTCCTTGTAGCCTGATTCATAAATGACAATGGCATTTGTAGAAGTTTTGATGTTAGATATGAAATGTACATATTAGCTATTTTTGCTGATTTTGTCCAGTAGGCACTTTTTGTAAAAACAAATTTCATAAAACAAGTTTCATGAACTAAAAATACAGTTTCTGAAATTAAGTGCTGTTTATTTTATTTAGGAAAGCTCTTTTTACCTGAAACTTAGACCATATGAAATCTATGAAAGGTTCTCATTTTCAGCAACTTAACATAATTCATATTTCTACCAATTTTCATATAAAGTAAAGGGAAAAAATGCCTAAAAGCCAAACAGGTAAATCTGTGTAACCATACAATAACATATCTAACCATACATTTTAAAAAATAATAATAATTAATAAACTACAGTACTTCACAAGTTGTACACATTATAATGGGTCAAATAATACTGTTTTAGATTGCAACTGTCATTTCAGATCTCTGAAACAAGGGTATAATATTAAAACTTCAGTTTTAAGCAGGAGGCTTGATTAAGACTCAGCATCAGTGGAAATCCATGTTGCTGGTACCCACTGAGGCTCTTCCTGAGCCTTCTGTACTGCAGACAACAATTGGGCACATGCATCTTGCAAGTTGTCATTCACAATCACATGATCAAAAAACTGGCCAAACTGAGTCTCTATTTTTTTGGCTAAATCCTCCATCTCTTGCAGGTCTTCATCCTTCAGAGAAAAATATATATATATATATATTGATGGCACAGACTTAGTGACACAGAAATAATACACAATTTGTTATACTGTCACATTCAGTTGTGAAGTAGTTTATAAAAACATGTTAAATAGGGGCTGGGATTGTGGCTCAGCGGTAGAGCACTCGCCTAGCATGGGTGGGACCTGGGTTGGATTCTCAGTACCACATAAAAATAAAGGCATTGTGTTGTGTCCATCTACAAAAAAGATTCATATTCTCTCTATCTCTCTCTTTCTTTAAAAAACATGTTAAATAAATGCCCTCTATTCTATATTACAAAACTTACATATTTGACCTTTAGTCTTACTCAATGTCTCTCTCATCAGTATTGCAAATTTTAGGAATAGTTTATAGACAAATTACTCCTCAACTTCCCATGTAGACTTATTTTGCTCCATTATCTACATATTTGAAGCTCTCAAACCATATGTGGCATAAAACCAAAGGAAAATTACCCACTTAAATAAAATTTAAATGTAAATTTCAAATGAACATTAACCCAATAAAAATGACATTATTTTGCAGATACAAAATGACCACTTGCGACATTAGGGTAGTCTGACATATTCCTATTGCATTGGGCATACATAAATTACCTTTTGTTCTATAATGACATAATTTACCTATAATATTGTCTATTTCTTCCCTTGTGAAATGGTCCTTAAAAGAAGGTCATTTGGCCTTCGTTTGTCCCTAGGCACTAAATTCATTGCTGTTGTTTTCTTAGTTGTCTACAACAATTAGAATAGCACAATTTGTTGCCAATGCAATCTTAAATGCACATATAAATGCTGGCATAGAAATATGTGGCAGTATTTCTTTACAAGGTGATAATCATACTCATGATCCAGAAATAATTTTATTAATTTGTTTAGACGGCTACAAATAAGAACACACTTTTTTTGGAAGTGTTGGGAAGGATCCCAGGGCGTCACACATACTAGACAAGTGCTCTACCACTGAACTACATTTTCTTAAATAAACCTGTCCCTTTTTAAAACTTTTTAAATTTTTATTTATTTATTTATTTGTAGTTGTAGATGGAAAGCATTCTTTTATTTATTTCATTTTTATGTGGTGCTAAGGATTGAACCCAGGGCCTCACACATGCTAGGCCAGTGCTCTGCCACTGAACTATAGCCCCAGCCCCTAAACTACATTTTTTTTTTGTTTTGAAACAGGATATCACTAAATTACCTCTAACTTGTCAATCTCCTGCCTTAGTCTTGAGTAGCTGAGATTACAGGCAAGCACCACCACACCCGGTGAGAACACAATTTTAAATGCCCAAAAGACTCAAGAAAATACATTCATGGACTCCAGTCCAAAAGGCAAATTTAATACTCATTGAAAAAATATGATGACAAAAATAGTTAAAAATGAAAGATAATATAAAGCCACTTTGTGCTTACTTTGGCAGCACATATACTAATAATATAATAGTATGGAGATTAGCAATGTCCTCTCTGCAAGGATAACATGGAAATTTGTGAAGTAGTCATATTTTTAATTTCAGTTTAGCAAGATGAAAAATATTTGACTCTTTACAGTAATGTGAATATACTCAACACTATTGAACTGTACACTTGGTAAAGCTGGTAGGTAGGTTTTCTGTTGTGCATTTTTTACTTCCCTCACACACAAATAAGTATAATATCTTAGTCTAGGTGATGGTTGTAGGGTGCATACAACATGTAAAAATTCATTGAGCTGTACACATAAGATTTATACACTTTAATGTATCATATCTTAGGACCCAAAACATCTCAAGTGGATTTAATTTAAATATACACATACATGCATACATACATGTATGTATGTATGTATGCTTAGTTTCTCTATTATTGCTATCATCATTAATAAGAGTTTTTATTAGGGACTGAGATTGTGGCTGAGTGCTAGAGTACTTGCCTAGCATGTGTAAAGCACTGAATTCGATCCTCAGGACCACATAAAAATAAATAAGTAAGCTGGATGGGTGGCACACGCCTTTAATCCCAGAGGCTCTGGAGACTTGAGGCAGGAGAGTTCAAAGCCAGATCAACAAAAGCAAGGTGCTAAGCAACTCAGTGAGACCCTGTCTCTAAATAAAATACAAAATAGGGATGGGTGGGGATGTGGCTCAGTGGTTGAGTGCCCCTAAGCTCAATCCTTGATACCCAAAATTAATTAATTAATTAAAAGTATTGTGTCCATCTATAACTAAAAATATTTTTTAAAAAGTTTCTGTGAGATACCTCATATTACAAAAATACATTCACTAAAGCATTTTTAAAAATTAATGTCCAAGTAAAAATAAATGATCTGTTCAAAATATAAATATGCTTGTACATACCCATTTCTGTTTGGCTTTGCAAACTGTGGCATGAGGGTCTTTTTTTAAAAAAAATAAAACTAGACCCCCAAAAATAAGCATCGTAGCATTTACTAACTTTATTTAAATATCTATAAGTGATGTCCAGTAAAAAAGAATAAAATATAAGGGCACTACTCATTAGGAACAAAAATTACATTCTTTGATATGGGGATCATGTAAAAGCAATACAATGATCTTTATTTTCTTATTTATTTTTTATTGAACCATTCTGAGGGACTCTTGGGGAAAGGATCAAAGAAGGGGTGAGTAGGACAATGAGGTCAAGGTCTTCAGCTCAGCCCAACCTGGCTTGGATCTCCTGGCCTCATCATCACTGACAGAAATACAGTAATTTTTTTAGTTGATCTACCTTGAACTTCATGTCCACAAAGAAGTCAGTGATAATCTTGGCATTTTTCCGAGATTGTTTCATGCAACTCAGGCTAGATGGCTTTATAAATATAACATAGGGCTTCAGTTCACGGGTTCGAGCCACTTGAATATCCTACAAAGAAAAAATTGAATGTACATTTAAAAACCAGACTCCTAACTTCCTAGAGTCAACAGGAATATTCTCAAAACTTCTAAGAAGACCAGAAATAAACTAATAGTCTCATGAACTCCTAATTCCTCAACTCTAAAATAGTAAATGTTTTTTAATAATTAAGAGATGGGGTTCAAGAATCAAAATTAAGTTTCAATCCTGGTTCTTCCTCTTTCTAGTTATGACTTGCTACGTAAATCTTACAAGCTGATTAAGTTCTATTATGTGACAGAATCTTACTGAGAATAGGATCCTATATATGATTTCATATGACACAGACAGAAACTCAAGATGAGTCAACCCTGTTTCACCCTCATTTCTCTTTCCTTTTGCTATCACCTTATGTTGGATACTGCTACCATCTTCACCTTGACCACTGGCTTTGACCCAATGAAAAAGAATCTCTCTTCCTTTGATTCTCTCTAGCATACAAAGTATATTTTTAATGTTTTTATTAGTGCATTATAGATATACCTAACATTGGGGTTCATTTTGACATAATCATATAAGCATGAAATATAATTTGCTCTACTTCAGTCCCCAGTACTTCCCTTTTCCTTCCTCTTCTTCCTCCCTCTGTTCCCCTTCCTCTAGTCTTTCTTCTACTTATTTATAGATTTTTAAAATTAGTGCATTATAGACATACATAAAGGTGAAATTCACTGTGAGATACACACACACACACACACACACACACACATATAAATTATGCTAAACATAGCATAATTTGGACAATTTCATTCCACCATTCCTCTCTTTTCCCATTTACCCTCCCTTCCCCCCTCAAGCCCTTCCAATGCTCCACTGACTTCCCTTCTATTTTTATGGGACTCTGCACACACACACACACACAAAAAAAATTTTCTCCTTTATTTTAGTTTCTGCATACGAGAGAAGACATTCAACACTGATTTTATAAGTCTGGCTTATTTCACTTAACATGATGTTCTCTAGTTCCAGCAAATGCCATAATTTCATTCCTCTTTTATGGCTGAGTAAAACTCCGTTGTGTATATACACCATGTTTTCTTTATCCATTCATCAATTGATGGGCCTCTGGACTGATTCCATAACCTAGTTATTGTGAGTTATACTGCTATATACATTGAAGTAGCTATATCACTATTGAATACTGATTTTAGTTCTTTTGGAAAAATACCAAGGAGTGGGATTGCTGTGTCATGTGGTGGTTCCTTCCTAATTTTTAAATGAAAAATGAAACAATCTTGGAAAAATGCCATACTGCTTTTCAAGTGGTTTTACTAATTTGCAGTCCCACCTACAATGTAGGAATATATACCTTTTCCCACACATCCTCACCAGCATTTATTATTATTTGTATTATTAATGATTGCCATTCTGACTGGATGAGATAAAATGCTAATGTAGTTTTGATTTGCATTTCCCTAATTGCTAGGGATGTCAAACACTTTCATATATTTGTTGGCCAATTTATATTTTTAAATGACTAAGAAAATATGAATCAAAAAAAGTGAACCTAATCCTTGCATGCTCTTGAACTTACCCTATGTTGCTCACCCCTGCTCCTCTACATGTGGTCTCAGAGAATTAATAAAGACATGAAAACCTAGGAACCTCACCCTCCTTGTACACAGCCACATGTTATTGCTTCCACAAGAAGTTACCTTAATGCATTTATGATGAAGGTCAAAGCAAGAAAGATTCTAAATTTTCTTTATGACCAACTTTTCAGTTCTGTTCTTGTGTCTGAGAAGCAAGAGTTCTCCCATAACTGAGAATAAGATGTTAGGAACTGATACTTCAAGTAACAACCTCGTCCTTAGAGGGGGGGTCTTATAAGGCTAACAGAATAAATGTCTCAGCTATAACCTTCAGCATGTGCATAACATGGGTGATGCACTCATGACTTTGGGGCGATCAGAAAAATTGCCACACACACCCACCTGAGGCTCTAAGTCCATGACACAGACCTTTCCTTCATCAAGGACAGCATTAACAGCGTCCACACTAGTGCCATACAGGTGGCCTTTGTACTCACCATACTCCAGCATCCTGCAGGGGTAGAACAAAGGAAACAAGAACTTCTCTACAAGTAAAATCATAGTAGTAACATGAAAATAATTTCCAATAGAATTGAATATAAATATAGAGATTTATATTTGCTTGCAAAGAAAAGAATTAGTGGATACTCGGTGGGAGAAAATATATTAGAAGACATAGGTCTTAACTATTTCCTCAGATTCTCTAAATTTTGCAACCTGATTCTGCCCCCTTTCCAAAACCAATGGATTGGTGTACTAGTGTATCAATGTACATTTCCTTGCTTAACTCTTTAGATCAGAGGAATTTTCCCCGAGGAGCTTTAGAAAATGCATTTTAAAAAATGGAGAATATCAAACATTTTAAATTTCAAACAACTAGCAGCAAGAATTAGCTTCTGAGCGTTACCTGTGACTATACATGAGGTTTTCAAATGTTTCTTTCAACACATAGTGATATTCACGCCCATTCACCTCATAACTCTTTGGGGATCGAGTAGTATCTATGAAAAAGAGGAATGAAAGTTTTCAGAATCTTCAAAATATTTTGCTTTGTTATCGATATGCATTTGGATAAAGAAGCTTGATCAAAACAAATAAGTGAATACGTAAACAAACAGATAAGTAAAATGCAAAAACCAAAAAGAGGAAGGCTGAATTGGTGATAAGAAAGAAGTTCTCATATCATAAACAATCAATAAACCTTTATTGAGTGCTCAGAGTGTGGAAAAGAATGTATTGGTATTAAGCCAGGATAAGAAGGCCCTAACAGAACACCTGCTAGAATTCAAAACAGGAGTCTGGGGATGTAGCTCAGTGGTACAGCACTTGCCTAGCCTATGGGAGAGCTTGGGTTCAATTCCCAGCACTGGGGAGAAAGTCCCTTAGTCAAACCAGACAATGATTAATTATGTGTGGACCCTAAAATTCCTGTATACTCCCAGTTAGCAATACCAACAGTACCTTTCGATTGGATAGTACCTTTCTAATTATTTCATTTCATCCCCCATACTCCTAGCTAGATGAATGTTACTATTTATATTTTCCTGAAAAGTAACTCATGCTTTCGGAGAGTAACTAGCTTTCTCACATTCATGAGACTAATGAAAAGTGAAGGTGAAACTAGAACCTAGGTATTCTGCCTCCTCCTAGACTACTATTTTCTGTTCTACCAGATTGTCTCAAATTTGAAATGGAAAAAGTCCATGTCATTCTGCAGTCTTGCTCAAATGAAATGTAATAGTACCCCCAAGTCAGTATGGTGATTATTCTTGGAGATGACTGAAAGGAAAAATTAGGCCAAGTCTAGATTCAGTCTGATTCTTTGATATGGCTGCTTTAATTTTAAAATCTTCAACTTAAATAACACTTGGTAGAAAATATAGGAGTTCATCAAATACCTAAAAGTGAGTTACTTATTGTCTGCTCATCCATTTATTCAACTAATGTGTACTGCGGGCCTTCTGTGTTCCAAATATCATGTTAGGTTCTTAGAACTCAGATGAATAATACACAGTTCCAACTCTGTATCCCACATGCTACAAAGCTAGTTCCTTACTCTCCACTACAAAAATCTTCCCTTATTAATAAAGAGCTTCTGTTTTTGCATTTGATAAAGTTTAAAGATGAAATGGATCAAATATCTGATGATATCAAAACATGGAAATGACCAAGCCAGAGCTGGAAACACACCCTAAATGATCAAAGTTACAGACCTTCAAGTGGCTCAAAAAAAGTAAATGCCATCTTGGGGTCATTTTTGTTTTTTATTCATTCAAGTCTCTAAGATGACTCCTTCTCCTTTTTTTCAGTTGGACTGATATTTTATAAAGTAGGTTAAAGTCCACAAATTAATACAGAAGCGGGATAGCCATTTTAAGTTTTAAACTGTTCAGCTAACTTAAAAAAACAAAATATGGGCATTTTTTCCCCCTCACTTTGAATGATAGGTATCCATGCCCCTTAAAATTCTTCTACGATCTGTGGGCATCTTGCTTTTATCTGGACTACTGAAAAATGGTGATTTCTTAGTTTTTGTCTTTGAGATTAATGTCTGCTCTTGCATATGTAAGTGATATTTCACAAAACACAACTGATGGGGTGGGACCATAAAGCAACATTGATGGTCTCCCATTGCCTCTGGGAAGCAAGACCTTCCGTTGCCTTGGAAGAAAATCTAGTAGTTCCTCAGACTTTTCTGATCAGCCTTAGGTTTAATTTTAAACAATTTTTAAAGTCTACCATCATTCCTTCCACAATTACATTTTCTTCATTCAGATTCAATTTAGTAATTTAAATTCCTTTTCCATGTAATAATCAAAATTATGAGCTGCATTTATATTTTTGGCATTTCTTCACATCTGTCTCAAATGTGTTGCACAGAGGGAAGCCTGAAGTTAGAGAAGCCAGAGGTCAAGAAAGGGAATAATATTCTCTTCTCTTTCTTTTCATTGCATTTCTACCACTCCTCCCTCCGTTTTATAACTCTCCAAAGCTAAAGTGCAGGCAGAGAAAGGAAAAACAGGTCAGAGAAGTTTCTACTTGACGGATACCAAGGCTGCCCTTGGCTTCCTTTAGACTTGTCAGATGTTTAAATCTGGCTCTTTCTCTCATAGATGAGGTATTGGACTATTTTGCAAACCCTACCACCCTACCATCACCACCCACACAACTGGGGCTCGCAAATCCAATCTCTTTTCCAGCTTGTCTGTGTAATTCCTTCTATACTCTGATGCGTCTGGGAGTCCCTTTTGGTCTTCAACTGAGGCCTCCTCTTGGGCAGGTGCTAAAATAATCCCAGGCTGACATTTTCCCACACCATCTACCCAGATTTGCCTGTCTACACAGGCAGCTATTTCCCAAAGTCACCATTGGCCTCTTGCTCTAATCTCTTGTCCTTTAGATTTTTCAGGAATAATTCTAACATCAGTCTTCTGTGTTCCTCCCTCTACATTCCCTCCATGTAGGGAGCACATATAAAGCTCCCTAAATTAGTCTCCCTATGTTCCTTCCTCCTGTTCTGAAGGGAAGGGGAAACACCACACCCACATGCTCTTCCCACTCGCATTGGCCTGGAAGCCATCCCACAGCATGACTTTCTCCAGTAAAAGTGTCCTTAAAATCTCCCATTATTTCTATTCCTGCCCCCTTTCACTCTGCTTATATGTGCGCCAGGCTTAAATAATTTCTACATTCCTCATTTAAAAGTTTACATCTTAGTGCCTCAGTTAAAACTTTACCCTCCTTTTACATGTAATAGACTATATATGATTAGAAACTTTCTATTTTTTTGAACTCAGGAATTCTAAGTCTTTGTCTTCTATATTTTTGCAACCAAACTGAGTTTCTTAGAGTGATTTTAAAGGTTTTCTTTTTTTTAATAATGAAGCAAATAATAATAATACCTTATTTTTTAGAAGTACAGTTCTCAAATATCTTAAAACTTAGAAAACATACTCTGACTGGATAAATGAATATAGAAAAATCTGAAAGATTGCATCTTGGGAGGTGGTAGTGGTGAACAGGTAGCTTATGAGAAATAAAGGAGCCCTGGGTAAAAGGTAATAAGAGAATATGATTTTTAAAAACACTGTGTGTGGTTTAATCATACTTAAAATTTACATAAAGTTATATGTGCAAATATTATTTTTTTAGATTAAAAAAATAGTAAGATAGGCAAGAGCCAAGAACAGTGCCAGGAAGATAAGATATTTTAGCCTTTTTGCTAAAATATTCGTTTTCCTGAGAGGTCATTTATATTACTGTTAAGAAATGGAAAGTCACATTTGAAAAGCCTCTCCATCTGAAATGCCAGTATATAGTTAGAAATACTTAGGGATTATCCCTTGTGTCTTACAACAATATGACATGGTTAAGTAAGATTGGGACATTTGAAATAAAGTTTTACCAAAACATGAACTGCTAAAACAGAAATCAAACGTACGTGGCACAGCACTCTGAAAATGATTGGGATTAAATTCAATAAGTTGTCTTCTCAGCTCAGTGACTCCAACGCCAGAAGGTCCTAAATATAAAAAGAGTCACATACAGAAAATCATTAGATGTGCATACAAATAATTATGTGCTAAGGTCATTATTTCAGTCCTTTTATTGAAGAAACTTGAGAGCAAATGTTTCTTGGGGAAATTATGTAACATCCTTTCTTGTGAATCAATAAAACTCTTGGGAATTTTCTTGGTGACCGGTCGAGTAACCCACACTGCTTCAACATGCAGAAATGAGGTAAGGAATTGCAAGCGCCTGTTACTCCAGTGAACTTTACCTAATGTTGGATGCTGTGAGAACTTGCTGGTCTCATTTAGGATAATCTGAGACATCCTGCCTTTCTTCTTCAAATGAAGTTACTAATATATCACAGTCAGAAATCAGACAGCCATAGGTTCTGTGACTTAAGGAATTCAAGGGCACATTTCTGACTGGTAGTTAAATCAGCAAAACATGTCTAACTGGAAGCAGGGCTGATTTTCTGAGCACAGAGGGCCCATGCTTAGGATACCTTACTTGCATTAATGCTCTGCTATTCTACCTTGAAGTCCTAATAATTTGAACAAACAACTCTTATGTTTTCATTTTACACTATTCCTTGCAAAGGAGATAACTGGCTCTATGACATGTTCTGCCCTGCAGGGGCCTGCCCTGCTCACAGCTGAACAGAAAATGGCAGTAAGATATAAGCTGCTAACTTTGTAGAGATCTTGGTTACAAAAGCAAGACACTCAAGCTCAACATTTGCCTGGTTCTTTAGTCCCAAAAATAGAGTACAGAAGACTTCAGCCACTTTTCTGGAGGAAATGGTTAAAAAGTTCTTAGGGAAATCAACTTTAAGTGTTTATTTTCCTAACACAGACTAATGATCCAGTTTGGGGGCATACAGAACAATGTATGCTTACAGAACAACTTCTAAACAGACAGAAGAAATCTCAATTATGACTTTGTCATAATACAACTTTTTATTATGTTCATACATAATATGAACATAATAATTAGGTTTATTAGGTTCATACATGGCATAACATATTCAATTGTATATTTTCCCAAAAGCTTGCTACAATAAAGTTTTGTTTATAAACACAAATATGAAATAAGCTTTTTTTTTTCTCTCCCAGTACTGGGAATTAAACCCGGAGTGCTCTACCACTCAGCTACATTTCCAGCCTTTTATTATTATTATTATTATTATTATTATTATTATTATTTTGTTTTTAAGATGGGATCTTCCTAAATTTCTGAGGTTGGTCTTGTACTTGCAATTGTCTTGCCTTTGCCTCCTAGATCTCTGGGATTACAGGTGTGTGCCACCCACACCCTGCTGAAACAGACTTTTTTTTTTTTTAAGGAATTATATAAAGGTCTATAAGGATTTCTACTACTCACAATGCAAGACAATTAAATCTAGAAGGCAACTCCCCAATGACAAGTAGAGGCAGAGCATACTGAGACATACCCACAAGCACTATGAGGCGGTGCTTGTCTGTTGGGCGTCGCTGGTACCTCACCACCTCCTCATAAGGGGCACCCACTGCATTGTAGCAGCTGCCAGCGCAGCATGCAGTGGCATGCAGCTGGCTGAGGTGGGACTTCCTTCGACAAAGGCGCATGCTGCGGCGGAAACCAGCTGGGGAGGATGGAAACACACAGAACATGAGCTCCAGGGCAGGAGCTTCAACTCTGATGAAGCACGTAATGTCTGTGATATCTATCTGAAGTTAGAAAATAAGAATGTGAAGGGAAAATATCCAAATGTCCCATGTGCTATCTAAGTTGCATCCAGCATCCATTATGTGCCAGGCATTTGCACTGGGTGCTGGAGCTGTGTGACCAACCAGCCCAAGCCCATCATCTCTTGAAACCTATGTTAATGGAGGAGGAGACACAAAAATAGATGATAACAACCAAAATAAATACTTGGAGAAAATGGTAAGTAGACAGAGTGACAGGGGTGCTTTTTCAGACAGTTCAAGAATCTGAAAAGTTGGCATTGAGCAGCTGTCTGGATGCAGAGATGGAGCCAGTTAAGGAAGCATCTAGGGAAAGAGCAATCCAGGCTGAAGCAACAGAAAATCAAAGGAGCAGAGAAAGGACTGCACTTGCAGCATTTGTGGAAGGCCAGGAAGCCTGGATAGCTGCAGGGCAGAGAATAATTGGTAGTGTAGGAGGAAATGGGGTTGGAGAGGTAGCTGGAGGCAGATCACACAGCACGAGTTGGTGAAGTGTTGGAATGTGGTTCAAGTATAAGCCATTGGACAGTGGAGAGACAGTTTGTGACTTTATTTGATTTCTGTTTCTAAAGGATTCCTCTGATTGCTGTTGGCAGGATGCAAACTGTAGAGAGTGAGTCAGCCTCAGGGAGAGCAGTCAGGCAGCTACCACTCTAGTCCAGGTAAGAGATGATAGTGGCTTGGGCCAGGGTGGACAGGCTTCTCGTTCACATTTTTCAGGTGAATACACTAGGACTCAGATTAACTGGGTTGCTCAGGACTGTGTGATCAGTGGCAAAGTTGGACCTCTTCATCTTGATTTCCAAACTCCTAGAATCCTGCTTTGTCTGCCCATTGAATCAAAGAGCTTTCTGGTACTTTCAGAGCTGTTTCTAGCAGTACAACTAGAAACCACATATGTGTGTGTAATATATACACACGCTACTATTTGTATTTGTACCTATACATATTGAAAGTCATAAGATCATACCAATGCTTATGAAATGAGTTCAAACCACAGGATTCATTGTGGCCTTCCCCTTTATTTGCGACTCCCTTTTCTAACAGGAAGAACCCTGTCATTCTGATTCTCAATACATCTACTTATTACATCAGCTAAGAACACCTGTGTCAGATGGGACCAACAGTAGTGGCAGCCTGACAGAAAGTGTCAGCCCATGAGAGATGAGGTGGGCATCTTTGTAAAGGTTGTGGAGTGTTAGAGGCCAACAAATGACAACTGCCATCCTCATTTCCTCTGACACTGACCACCTGCATCAGGCCGCCCTCATCCCCTGCACAGATACCCTCCACCTTGCTCTACTCAGGCTCCTCATTCTCCATCTTCATGCTGCTTCCTACCCTGCTCTACCTTACCTAATGGCTTTGGGGCTGATAATTCTGGAAGTAGTACAGAAAGGGGGCCCACTTATTTTTTTAAAGGTCCCCCCAATGATTTCAAAGTGCATCTAGGCTTGGGAGCCAACACTCTGGTTTACAGACTGCAGCTCTGTGGTTCTCTCCTATCTTGTGAAGAGGGAAGCCCAGAGTAGCTCTAAATGAGAGATACCTGGTCCCTTCAGAAAGCTCTGCCAGGTGACAAACATATAGAAATGTGGCCATAAAAGGAGAGTTTAGTAATTAGAGAAATGGTCTCTTTAGAAGGATAAATAGGTTGTGGAACAGACTTGGAGACAATGAAAAGAAGTATGTTTCATAAATAATTAGGAGATACCTAGTGGAAATTAAAAGACTAACAATGAATAATAGATCCGAGCACTGAGAAGAAAAAGTAGACAGATGGAAAACAGGCAAGGAACAATTTTGGAAATGTCCACCAGCAAAAGAAACTTTCAGCAGAACACCAGGCTGATATGAATACCACTTCAAAACAATTAAGACTCACCTCTTATTAATCATCACTTACCAATAAAGAACTTTTGACCAGAGCCAATAAATTCCTCCTTGTCTGGGACATGGAATGGCAAGAACAGAATATGAGGACAAAGAGAAGTTTACTTAGAACCAATGCATGAAATCATCTTCAGATTGTCAAGTGACGTCATTTTATTAGGTGACAGCACAGTTGACTTGATTCTTGAGTGGCTTTCTAAGATTGTTCTCAGCAATTTCCATCCTTTTTTTCTCACTCAATAAACTATAGAAAAACATTCTTCAGAACTTCCGTATTATACTGAAATATTTTTATAGTATGGTTAAAAACAAAAAAAAAATTAGGCTTGTTTAAAGATATAAGAAAAGAGATGGAGCCATAGTAAAAACACAAAAGCTGGGTATTCGTTTTTGAACATATCCTAAGAAAACTGATTTTTAAAAAGAAAGAAACTGACTTTTGTCTTTAACTTGCTGATACAGAGTTCTTACAGGTCCTATAATTAATCTCTTTGCTAAATATGAGCTTTTATTTTCCATCTTAATTAATATTCTATATAAAATTGGTCCTTGTTCTATGATGATCACTTGTTTTCTTATTGCCAAGAAGCTATAAGACTAAGTAAGGAAAATTGTGCCTGGGACCTGCAGCATATAGAACTAGTTCAGAAACCTGTTTCTGCTTCCTCTGAGTCCTTGGACAAACTTATAAACTCCATAAAAAAATGTTCTAAAAATGTCATTTCCAAATTATTTGTACTTGAATTTCTTGTCATCTATTCAACTCTGCTTTGCTCATTAAATAACATATAAAAAACATTTGTTCATAGGATGAACTGACATATACAGCCTTCTTTTTCTTAATCTTTATTTTTAAAAAATTTTTTAAATACACATTTTAAAATACAAAAAAGACATACCAATATTAGTTACATCTGCTGGTAAGTAAATTTTTCATCTCAATAAGTTTAAAAGACAATGTCTACTGAGGGATAGTTTAATAATGGTTAATTACTTCCATCATTTATATTTATTTACTTATTTGCAGTACTGGAAATCCCAGGGCCTTGTACATGTTAGGTAAGTGCTCTAATCATCATTCGTTTTAAAATGCAGTCTATGAAATTGAGTATTTTATCATTGATTTCACCTTTAACATATCAACACCTCATCCTAGAAGTTATCCTGTCGATTATTCACTTTGTGGCACACTGAAAGACTTTAAACAGAGCTCTGTCTAGTGTGCCCAGGAAATAAAAATGAACAATTACCTTCTGAAAGTTCCTCTGGGTATTTGGTCAAGTGCAGAAAGAGACGTGAAAAAGTTAAGCCAAGTTAGCCATCAAATACAGGCAAATGACAGCATTCATGTCACCATTAGTAAAAGTTTTAACTTGGGTAAGGCCTAGGACACTCATCTGACCTCACTCTACCCCTGAGGGACAACCATTTTTTCTGCAAGTTGCCTCTGAGACTCTCCATGAAGTCTTTTGATCCATGAAGACTCTGTGGGTTGGTACAAGATGAGACTTGAAAGAGACAACAACCCATTAAAGGCAATGGATTTGAGGCTTCTCTGTCCTCTCCCAGAGGCCATTTTGTGGCACCTTGTGAAAGGGAGGAAAAAAGGACATGAGGGTAGGGGTGGGACAGACGCTGCCCCAACCTCTGGTCTGATCATCATCATTCCTTAGCCCTTCCTTGGTCTAATGTACACACTTCCATCTCCAACTGACCCCTTGGAGACAGGGGAACTGAATATGAAGCAAACTGTTTTGTTGTCTAGACATCTTAAACAGCTGTACTTTCTTTTCTTTTTTAAATGGCCTTCTTAATTAAATGAGCCTCCCAAAGAAATTTAAGGAAGTCACATTATACCTCATGCAGAGATCAAAACTGAAGAACCTTAACTGCTACTAAGTGAGTGTCTAGGTAACAGGAGTAAGTACCATGAATGAATGCCAAGGGTTATCTACTTGGAAAATACACCAGTTGGGTGCTAATTGTTCCTTAATTGAGCTCCTACTAGAGCCAGTTCAGCATGTTCTTGAGAGTTCTCTTTCAACTGAGAGGCTTTCTTTTTTTTTTTTTTTTAATTTTTTATTGTGGGTTGTTCAAAACATTACAAATTTCTTGACATATCATATTCCACACTTTGATTCAAGTGGGTTATGAACTAAAGGAGTGCTTTACACTGCATGCTTTCCTCTGAAGGGCTGGTCTTAAAGAACCAGCCACAAACTGCCCTAAAGAACAAGATTTCATAATAACACCAAACTAACCCTCATGTAGCATTTACTAAGTGTGGAGGTGGTGGGGGGTGAGACACTATTCTAAGCACTTTACTTATGCAAATAATCTAATTATGGTTCCCATTGTGTGTGTGTATATATGTGTTACCAGGCCCTTGTGAACGCTAGGCAAGCACTCAGCCATTGAGCTACATCCCCTGCCCATTTTGGAGATGAGGAATCTGAAGGCAGAGGGGGTAAGCACCAGAAGGTTAGCCAGAGTTAATGAGTAATGGACCCAGGATTCATACTTGGACAATGTGACATGAGATCATGGTCTTACCTACAATGACACACTGGCTTAGCTTTCACAGACCCTGAAAATAACGCCCCTGAGCCTCAGCCACAGCCTTAGCTGGTGGAGTATTTTCCAGCAACACAATGAGTTGAGCAGAACAAAGAAGGATGGGTATAACTCAGAGGAATGAAAAACAAAACCAATCCCAAACACTGACCCAAGTATAAATAATTAAATTATCCCCAGTAGACCAACCATCTCATGAAATACAGGAAATTTTAGAAATAATATAAATGATAACTAGGCTAATTTAAGTGAGTGGTTCCAAACTCTACCTAATTCAATGCTTATCTTTTTTATAACTAATATTTGTAGCAATTTTTTTTTAAATATAATTCATCGGTGATATAATCTACCACACATGTAACTTTAAAAACCTATACAATGCTCTAACTATAATGTAAAGGAAAAACAAAAGGAAGTAATTTATATTTTAAAAGTATATATACCAAATATAAATTTATGGGCAACATCTCTAAAAGACATAGAAAACTAGTAGATGTTTATACCTACTTAAATGAAGAGGCATAGATTTAAAAGAATCAAGATCAAGAAAACATTCTTTATAGGAAGTGCAGAAGAATAGAAAAGGAAAGAAGCGGACACTAGAATCAAAAGTATTCTGCCAAGTAATAACAGACCAGATTGACTTGTATATGATAAGAAAGGGAAATTGCTTTAGTTGAAATAGGGATAATATACCAAAGCAATTGGAGACCAATGAAATAGAGAAAATGAGGAAATGTAATATACTTGGAATCAGGTAAGTAATGTTAACAGGCCCCAACAGGTTGCCAGCTTTTATAAACCTCCCTGTGGGATATATTTTGCTACAAATGGGGTCAACATTATTTTGCTGGATAGACCCTTGATACTTACTAGGTGTCATCAATAATAACAAGTAATGTATTAAGGAAGAAGAAAATGGATTCAGTATAGATACCATACTTTCCAATTTATTTACTATCCATGTAGTGTAGACAGAAAGTTTGGAATAAAGGACTTTATAATTTCTAAGGCAATGTCATTATGTCTCTCTAGAGTGACCATCTTCTGAACCACTGGGCCCTTCATGTTGACTTGTGAAAACTTACTATCGTGTAGTAAAGAGCTTTTCCATTAGATTGGTAATGGGTTTTGCCTAACAGGAAGATATGTGGGTCTTGAGTTGACCCTTCATTGTGCAGGACATTTAACATTCTTGATCCTACTAGGTAAAGGCTGGGAGGGACCCCAATCCATGTGGCAGCCAAAAAATGCTCCCACAGAGTTCCAAAATGCCCAATTGAGGGTAATATTGACTCTAGGAGAAGCACTAGTTAAGGTAAAACTTATATCTCACAACCACATTGTTGATTTTTTAAAAATAAAACTTGTATTTTTGAGATTTACAACATGTTAAAGAATATATACAGATAATAAAATGGTTACTACAGTGAAGCAAATTAACATGTTTATCATCTCATATGTTTATTTTTACTGTTATATCTAAACAATTATTATATCATATCTCTAAATATATGGCTAAATTATATTAAAATGTGGAATATATATTTAAATTCAGTACAAATTTTTCACTTACCAGATTCAAATGTTTCTTCATCTAAGGTTTTCCATGGAGGCAAAAAGCAAAATGGTTATTATATTACTATCTACACTGAGTCTATACTTTAATAATTTAATTGCCTGGCTAATGCTTTTGTGCCTATGCTACCTTTATCAAGGTCAAGACAGTGGTATCTCTAAATCATATACAGATGTCTTAAATGAGATACGTAATATTCACTAGTTGGACTGTAATGACAACCAGAGGTGTAGCCGGAACTTAAAATAAATAAATAAAATAAACAAAAGAGAATAAGTAAAACACAATTTTAAAAGAGGCTCAGAGAGAAGGGAAAAGTGAAATGTCACAGGAAAACCCTATGGATAGTTGTACACTGCACCACCTTGCTTCTGGAAGACTCGCATGTGTGGGAGGGAGGCCTCTGCCTGCAGAGCTGGGGGCTACAGGCAAGGAAAGGGAGAATGAGCACTTGAATGTCTTGACTGAGCAGGATCAGGTGACTGAGAAAGCATGAGAGAAACCAGCTTCTTCCCTCATTAAAACATTTCTTGTTAGCATTTTAAAAAGGGATTAAGGATTACAAAAGTAAAAATTTATATGGAGGACAATTTGAAAGATATAGTAATATTACCAGTGTATATATCCTTGGCTCAGGCAATGGTACGTCTTAAGTATACATGTGTGAATGACATATCTATAAAGCTATTCATTGTAACAATGCTTATAGTAGAAAATGGACACAACTCAAATATCTACAAATAAGCAATTTTTAAAAGATGATGAGATAGAATCATCTTTAAGATATATGAAGTTAACCAGGCGCTTCAGTGCACACCTATAATCCCAGCTACTTAGGAGAATTATTTCAAGTTTGAAGCCAATCTGGGCAATTTAGCAAGACCTTGTCTTATAATTAAAAATTTTAAGGGGCTGGGGCCGTAGCTCAGTGGTAGAGTGCCTGCCTTGCATGTGTGAGGCCCTGGGTTCGATCCTCAGCACTACATAAAAATAAATAAATAAATATATTTAAAAAAATTTTTTTAGAAGTACTGGGGATGCAGCTCAGTGGTAGAGTGCCCCGGGGTTCAATCCCCAGTACTGAAAGGGAAAAATAAATAAATAAATATATTTTTAAAAAAAATTTTTAGAAGTACTGGGGATGCAGCTCAGTGGTAGAGTGCCCAGGGTTCAATCCCCAGTACTGAAAGGGAAAAAAAAATGATATACAGTTAGAAGGCCAGGAACAGAACAGTGTATATATCATATCATCAAAGGATGTGTGCATTCATGTTTGGGGAGACAAGATTGAAGTGTAGAAGAAAAAGAAGACACATCATTATTTTTGTATGCAGAGACTGTCTGGAGGGATACTTAAGAAACTGATGACATTTATTGGCTCAAGAAAGAAACTGAGTAGGAGAATGGAAAGAGAAACTTATTACCGAGTACACTTTTGCAGTTCTTTTTTTAACTTTTGAATGATGTGAAAAGATTACTTAATAAAAATTTGATTAACTGCACAGAAAGGAATTGCATATTACCACAAGTTTAAAAACTGGAATGCATACTTGATAAACTAACTGTAGCATGAGCATTATTTTGTAGTTGTTCTGGGAAATATATGTAAATCTCTGAAATAGTTCTTTCATTTCTAAAACCTAGATTAACCCATAAAGCCAAGACAAATTCATGTGTCAGGCAAAAGACTTTCAGCAAAACCCTAGTGATTTTTGAACCAACTTTAGTACCACCCACTAAATTTGAAAAAAAAAAATCCAATTTTTTTAGAAAACCTGAAATATAGAAATGTAAAAGCTTTCATATATTTCTCAAAATTCTGGAAGCCATTACTACCTATCTATACCAGAATTTACCAGAAGATGGGGCATCAAACTTAATGACAAAAAGATGTGTTTTGCTTTCTACACATTTGGTATCACAGATTTTATGCTGTTCCGCAAAAACACAGGGAGGAGGAGGAGGGTTCCAAGTGTTCCACTGTCTGGTAAGCTGATTGTTAACACGTGTTCCTGAGATCATTTCCAAGATGCAGCTTTCTAGAACACTTTCCAGAAGTTTAGTGGGGACCTAGAGACATCCCCAAACTGTGTTTTTCCTTCTATGTGCAGAGCCACAAAAACAGGGGTGGGGTCATTTTACATGTCAATTCTAGAGGAAGGATCTATGGCCTCTTCTACCACCTCTGCTCCAGATAATCTATAGCTGAAGTGCTTCATGTTCCTTCTGGGGGTGAATCAATCAAGAGGAAATGTTACCTGCTTCCACACATTTCTCATCAATCCTCATGTCATCTTCTATAAAAAGAGCATAGAAAGGAAAGAAAATTAATAATATGTCAGCATTAAAAACAGCGTTCCCCATGTAGAGGCTGTGTCAACAAAACTGAGACCACCTTACAATGTTGTTTGTGGAACTATCACTTATTTGGTGAGATAAAATGGACTCTACTGTATTAGATGAAAATGTGTAACGTAGAAGGCAAAATACATAAAATGTTATATTGGAGCATTGGATTGTCAATGCTGAGAAAATACGTTATCTCAAAGCCATAAATGGGGGAAATAATACCATATAGAATAAGATTCATTGAGATAGTTCATGAAAATGTCAGGTACATGGTAAGTGCTCAATAAATGGTAGCTGATTTTACCTTTAGCTAACGCATATATAAGAAAATTAAAGAATGAAACTTAAAAACCACTTATTGGATGAGATAGACATCATTACCCTAGGTACATGTATGACTGCATATATGGTGTGATGCTATTTCGTGTACAACCAGAGAAATGAAAAGTTGTGCTGCAATTGTGTACAATGAATCAAAATGCATTCTGCTGTTGCATTACCTAATTAAAATTAATTATTTTTTAAAAACACTTATCCTAACACTCAAAAGCCTTCATCATGTGACCCCAGTTAGAAGGTCCATATCTCCCCTTACATCTCTTATATCACTGTTAGAGCTCACCACATGGGTCTTTCTGTTGTGGCTTAATGTATGTTGTTTTTTCCCTGTGCCTATGACACATCAAGGCCCACCTCAAACAATGATTAAAATAAATACCCTTCTCTAAACCTCCACAGCATGTTCTTCCAACTACCTTGAACTTGGACTACTATATATCTCTTCTTTTGTAATGTAACCATTTGACTGTTTGTTTTACTTATTCTCCTAGAATGTTCCCTGAAAGCAGGCACTATCTAGTTTTCACATACTCTACAGAGCTCAGAACAATGCCTTGCACATAGTAGTTATAAGATTAATTATTCATTAATTTGAATTTACTTTTGAAGATTAAAATAGTTGATTTGAAAATGCCTCCTGAGAATTTTTTTTTTCTTTCAGCATTGTACATCTTGTGCCTAGCATAGTGCCCAGCACTTCCCAGATGCTCAAAACAAATAGTGGCTTAATAAATGAGTCTTATACATGTCACCAAAATTCAAAGTCTAAGCAACAATCTATAATATTATAAAGTAACACTTATCACCACTGCCTTAAAAACTATATCATTCATTACTGTTTTTAAATAAAATATGAAACATGATAAATTTTAAGAAGTAATATTCTCATGGAGACTAGCACAGATAAACAAGTGACACAGCTGAGATATTTAGCCCAGGTACATGGTAAGTGCTCAATAAATGGTAGCTGATTTTACCTTTAGCTGACACATATATAAGAGAATTAAAGAATGAAACTTAAAAACAACTTATGGGATGAAATAGACATCATTACCCTAGGTACATGTATGACTGCATCTTATCATTCAGATAAGATGGAAGCTTTTATTCATTTAGAGATTACTTTCCAGATTAGCCATTTATATTAACAGGTCAGAGCTAAAGTGTTTTTTTGAAAGCAAATAAAAACTACAATTGTCATTTCTATTTTACAACATAGGTACAGAAATCAGAAATGATTCTCCAATGATCACACAAGGACCCCTAAGGCTCTTCTGACATGTGACTTTGGAATCTAGGATAGGGGAACTGCTTTTATTCTCCCAAATCAGCCTTAGTGTATGATTTACTTACTAGCTAGGGTGGGTGCTACAGAATGAATTAGTTCCCACCGTGTTCATAGGTTGAAGCACCAGCCCTCAACATGATTGTATTTAGAGATAGCATCTTTTAGAGATAATTAAGGTAAAATGAAGTCCTTGGGATGGAGCCTAATGCCAAAAGGACTTAGAAGCAGATGAAGAGACAATAGATATCTATCTTCCCAAGTATGTACTTAAGAAAGGCCACATGAATACACAGTAACCAGGTGGCTGTCTACAAGCCAGGAAGAGAGGCCACAACAAAACCAACTTGATCTTGAACTTCCAGCTTCCTGAACTGGAAAATAAATGTCTGTGTATCTCATTAGGCGGCCCACTCTAAGACAGCCCACCCACTGAGTGCCAACCCCTCCCCAAGGGCCAGAGCCAGACTGCCCTTCACAGCGCTGCAGTTGACGTGGCCTTGGATACACAAACCTAAGCGAACCCTGGACTTGGCTCTCTTCCACCTCCTCTGGTTCCCTGCCTGTGTCATATATAACTCCTGTCCTTGGAGGACCCAGGCTGGAGCCTATGCTGAGAGATCAATTCTCAAAAGTCCCTCTCAGGAGTTCTCAGGTCTCTTGTTTGTGCATGTACATGTGCATTTGTGACATCATAGTGCATTATCTGGATGGTTGGACATGGACAAGGGGAAGAGGTAGTCACTGAGGGTTCTACTTGGCCCCGATACAGGGCCATTCAGATAAGATGGAAGCTACATTGCTTGCAACTTCTGACAAACGTTATTGGGGTTTTTCTGAACCTCAATCTTTTCATCCATAAGATGGGGAAAATAATTGCAATCTCCTTGCAGTGTTTTTTTTTTCTTTTTTTCTTTCCCATTTTTTAATTTGTACATTATAGTTGTACACAATGATATTTTTTGCTACACATTCATACATACAAGATAACAATATAATTTGGCCACTATCACTCCCCAGCACTTCCCCTCCCGATCCTTCCCTCCTCTCACCACCTGGTCCCTTTAATCTACTGCTCGTCTTTGATTTTCATGAGATCCACACCCCCCTTTCTTTTCCTTTTGCCTCTATAACTCCCACATATGACAAAAAATACACAACCTTTGACCTTCTGAGTTTAGTTTATTTTGCTTAACATACTGGTCTCAAGTTCCATCTATTTTCCTGCAAATGACATAATTTCATTTTTCTTTATGGCTGAATAAAACTCTATTTTGTATATATTCGACATTTTCTTTATCCATTCATCTGTTGATGGACACCTAGGCTGATTCCATAGTTTGGCTATTGTGAATTGCGCTGCTATAAACATGGGTAGCATGTATCACTATAATAAGATGACTTTAATTCTGTAGGGTAAATACCAAGAAGTGGTATTGCTGGGTCATATGGTGGTTCCTTGCCTAGTCTTTTGAGGCACTTCCATACTGATTTTACAGGAGATGTACAGTCCCACCAACAGTGTGAAAGTGTCCCCTTTTCTCTACATCCTCTCTACCATTTCTTATAGTTTGCATTTTTTTTTAAACTTCAGAATTTATTTAAACAGGAAACCTGTAGATTTAAACAAGAGGGGGAATGGAAGGTAAAAAACAGCATCTCCAGGAAAACAGCCCAAACCTGTTGTGCCCTCCCAAATAGTAAAACAAGTATAAGGAGCCCAAAGACCATATGCCTACCTGATGAGGCTCTGCACACACTTTAGACTACCAAACTCTAAGCTTCATTGTACAAACCACACTTGAAATGTGTATCAAAATCACCAGCCAAAACAGCTTTTCAAAGCTGAAAGCTCAAAGCCCAAGTTTAGATACCATCACAGTGTGGAATGTCTGCAACCTTGTGTCCCTGTGGGAGGAATAGCAGCATCCACCAAGTGGTGCCTCTGAACTTGGGCCACTGACCATAGAAACCACCCCAGGAAGGCTATGATAGGTTCTGAGTGACAGCAAAAAGGTACATGTCCCTGTTCAAGCTGTTCATTCCTGGGTGGTTGTAAGTGTTCTTTTCTACTTACCTAGTCAAGATAATCAACTGAATTTATCAATGTTCTGGGATGAAAATGGAAGAGCACTTATTACAGAACTTTTGTTTTCATGTTTGATAATTTAAAAACTCACTGGATTTTATAAAAATTTCTTCCAACAGATTACTGAATCTACAAAACACTGAGAATTTCACCAAGAAGGACTGCACATAAACCACAAATGCAACTCATGGACAAGAGCTGCTCTTATTGCGGGTGGCCAATAACACTGTTTTAGGTCATGAAATTAATATCTCATGATAAATATGCTGAGTGAAGACGGCATAGTTTGGGGCACAATTGCACATTCAGATGAAGCACTGCTGATCAGGGCACACCGGAGCTGGGAGCATCCAGAGGTCCTTTATGACTTCTCCTCCTCATCTTTAATTTCAGAAATTCTGTCTATCGCTTTCAGGATTTCAGCAACAAAATTCAACGTTTCAGCTCCAGAAACCAGCTGCTTTATGGAGGCATGTGCACCATTCATGACAACACGGAGATTCTGTAAGGCCATGTCAGTGTTCTGCTTTACCACCGTCAGGCTGGCACCCTGGCCCGACCTCAGGGCTTCATTCTCGCGCTTGAAGTTGGAGACCTGTGCCTGGAGCAAGTTTATTTCCTGTTTCAGCATTATGACGTGATTTTCTGCCTTTACAGCTCGTTTCATCATCAGCTCCAGGTTCTGCTCCACCTGCTGGACCACTGACTCCAGGTCATGGTAGTCACTCACCTCCTTGATCCTCTTTGCCTCTAGCTCCTGCTCAAGCGTCCTTATCATTTCTGTTTGAGTTTCGGAGAAGCTCTGAACCTCATTCAGCTTTCTTCTTAGCTTAGAATTTTCATCTTTCAGGGTTTCATAACTTATCTGCAGCATGCGCAGGTGTCTGTCACCCAGAGACTCCCCAAGAGTTGTAAACTCTGCACCAGGACTCGCTGCACAGGGTGCTGTGCCAGCCAAGGCCCTGCAGGAGAGCGTCTTCTCCACGGCAGATGGCAAATAGGCCCCATTCCACCGCCTGTTTTCGTCTTTCGCCTCATCATCCAGGATGTTGCCAGTCCCTGTGGGGCCTTCAAAAAATGGCTGCTGATATTCCAGGCCGTACGCCACAGCCGGGTGGGTGGGAGCGCTGTGGTCCAGTCCCAATGAGTGCCTCGAGGCTTCCTTTGGATAAATTCTGCTGTTGGTCATGTCCTCTTTCGTTAGACCAAGGTTCTTGGTTTTCAGAAACTCTTTAAAGGAGAATGGATTTGCCTCTTCAAGGTCTTCCAGCAGTTTGTCATTATGGGGAACAACGAGGCTCCGGGCCCGGGACATCGGTGCGGCACCCAGGCGGCGCGCGTAGCCCGACATCATGGCAGTGGCGTGGCCGGGCCTCGGCCTCACAGCCGGCCACCGCGTCGCAGCCACTACTCTCATCCTCTGGCCACTGCTTCCCATAGTTTGCATTCTTGATAACTGCCATTCTGACGGTGTGCGATGAAATCTCAGTAGAGGGTTTTGTTTGTTTGTTTGTTTTTTAAATATTTTTTACTTGTACTTGGACACAATACCTTTATTTTATTTATTTTTATTCGGTGCTGAGGATCGAGCACAGAGTCTCACACGTGCCAGGTGAGCGCTCTACTGCTCAGCCCCAGCCCCCCGCACCACCAGTATAGTTATAGTTTCTATTTGCATTTACCTAATTACTAATGGTATTGAACATTTTTCATCTATTTTTGGCCATTTGTATTTCTTCTTTTGAGAAGTGTCTGTTTAATTCATCTGCCCATTTATTAACTGGGTTACTTGGTTTTTTGTTAAGTTTTTTTAGAGTTCTTTATATATTCTAGATATTCATCCTCTGTCAGAAGAGTAGCTAGTAGTGATAGTCTTCCCATTCCCTGCAGTGTCTTTTTTATAAAATACATCAAAAGCAGTTGAAACAAGATATCTGATCAGTTTCACAACTCATTGGGTTCTTATCATGCGCTGTGTTAGACTCAGAGTTGTGTATAAATGTTACTTTTCTTTCCTTGATTCTTCTCAGTGTTAGGATAGTTATGCTTTGTATGCTAGCACACTAATGGGTACATAGGAAGTTTAAAAAAATACCTGAACTGAATTGAAATGAATTTTTAAAACTAGAAGAAATTTCTGGAGACTTTGAATATAAGATCCTCCTGCCCTGAATGTTATTTCTTACCTTCTTCCATAGAAATCACTGGTATGTTCAAATGATGAAAGCAGGGGGAGAAAAAAGGAACACAATGGTTTATGCTCTCATTTCTCAGATTAATTTACATTAAGAAAAGCAAAGTGCCAATATTATTGTAATTGATCTTCGAGAAACTTAGTGGAAATTCAATAACAAATGATAAATGACTACTCCCAAAATATATTTGGGAGAAGCTCCCTGCTTCTGGCAACTCCCATCATCTTTCAACCCAATTATCTGTATGAGAATCACACAGTTGATTCATTTCTGAATTAATGCTCTTACACTTCAGTGTATTTAAGGAACTAAAATCTTGAATGGAAGGAAGGAATAAAGGAAGGAAAAAAAAGTAGCCGGGAAGGAAGGAGAGAAGGAAGGAGGGAGTAGGAAGGGAGGGAAAGAAAGGCAGATGACAACAAACACTTTTCAGTATAACAATAATCTGTGAACTACCATAGGCTAGGAATTTTTCAAAACCCCTGAGTCAATTGACTATACCTATTCAATTAGTAGCTTGTTCCTGAGATCCACCTCCCCCAGCACCCCCACCATGGGAAGATTTAAGCAGAACTTAAAAGATGTAAAATAATATTTATTATAGTATCATCTACAACAGTTAAAAAGAAATGATCTAGTAGTTTCAAAAGTGATCATGCTCCATCAGAAACATACCCTGTGAGAGATGTCTCTTTAAGTTAGTGGCTCCAGACCTAGTTTCTGTACTCAGGAATGTGTGAATATACTAAGAGGCTGATGTAAACTACTTTCAGTATAATTAAAAGTCTACTATAAATCACACTTAGGCTACAGGAGCAAATGACATGCCAACCCATCGTACAAGTTATCAGATACTGTCTGGAAAGTCTAATTAACATCTCCCTGTGCCTTTGGTGATTGAAATAGGTAAGTGAATAAAGAATTTTTTCAATCTAGATTGGTTTAAGAGGGGGAACAAAGGTTTTTCAGGGACTGGGGATGTAGCTTACTGGCAGAGCACTTGCCTGGCATGTGTGGGGCCTGAATTTGATCCCTAACACTGCCCTCTGTCAGGTGCAGCTGGCCTCTGTCCTGGTCCTAAGAATGGCCTCCCACTCTCATGGCCCCTTTATTAAGACCATAAGTAGTTCCCAAGCATTTGCCACCATGGATCCCTTCACTAACCACTCCCCTATTATTTGAATAATATTGTCTAACAATCAAATTGCATTTGTTAGGAATAATTTGGCCTCCTATTTAGTCATCTAAAGAACATGTGACCATCAACCAAGGAGATTATTTGAGCAGTGGAGACATTTAGAGGTCCTCTCTTGGGCAGGAAGCCCACCCTGGACAGAGGGAGCAGGTTTCCCTGTGCACCTGTTGTGTCTGAGGTGGTTTCACTCACATGCGGTTGATTTGAGACAGGTGTGAGGCTGGTACGGCTGAGACCACCAGAATTCCCGTTGCTTCCTATGCAAAAAATGAAAGCAGAGACTTGCTGAGTCAGGTAGTGTCCGTTTCCTCACCCTGGCTAATGACTGCACTGGACATGGATGTGAGCAGAGATGCCACAGTGGGCTCTTGTTGGGGACTCCAGCATGCCACTGTGCATGGCCCCTTCCACTGCACCTGGAGTGCAGTGTGTCCTTGTCCTCAAAGCCATTTCCATATTCATCTCCCTTTTCCTTAAGAGCCCCCACTTTGAACATCATCCCCGATCACTCCTGGATGCTCCCATGCTCTTCATACTACTCAGTCATAATTCTTGATGGTTTTATTAAACATATAAATGCCCTTCTAATACCCTGGCTTTTCGGGTTCTTGATCTGGTTTTTGCCAATGACCTTCCCTCCTCCTCCCTCAGCCTCTGCCCTCTCACTGTCATAAACTAGACCTGTTCAGTACCAATAGCTAATCTCTCCATAATTTCAATTTCTGGCATCCCTTTACCTAACAACATTTCCCATCTTTGAAACTCCAATTATCTGTTGACCCTATAGGGACCTAAAATCTATTAATCTTATTTCCTTCTTATGGATCCTCATCTGCTTAATTTCCTCATCTTCCTCCTTAACACTTTAAATGCCATGACCCATCACTTCTCTTAAGTCCTTTTTGGATTTGCAGTTAAATCTAACCCTCTGTCTAATCTGGACCTGCATCCAAAAAGCTGACCAGAAGCACTTCAGGTTTATGACCTTTAACCTTCAGTAGATCCTTAATGCCAATCATACTATATTGACCTAGTTCATTTTCTCTCCTTCTCAACACCTCCTTACCCACCTGATTCTCAGCTTATGACACTGCTTCTCATTTCACACACTCCCACCACTCCCAACCATCCCCTTCTTTCCTGTGACTAGCCCTGTGGATGAACTGTCTCTGCTCCTACAACAGGAAAACCCCACTTCTTGTACACTAGAGTGTAACTCCTTCTGCCTGTTCAAGGACCTCAGTAACAGCAATACTTTCTCCTGAGACTTAAAAAATTCCCCTCTCACTGTATTATTCCCACTAATATTATTCATCTCATCTAAAAATTCTCTCACATCACTCCACTTTCCTTTTTAGATATTTCTCCATTCCTCTACTCTGCTTTATATCCAAATGTCCCAAAATGTTTTCCATGCTTATTGTCATCCGTTTCTTTAAATACCTTTCTAACAAGGATTTTTGCTCCATCCATCCACCAAAATTGCTGTATCAAGATCATCCATGACCTCCACATTGCCAAATTTAATGGTCAATTCTCAGATCTCTCTACCACAATTGACAGATATAGCTAATCAGGACACAGTATGGTCAGGATTTTCACCCTGCCTCAGTGGTTACCCCTTCTCAATCTCGTTTGCTTGTTCCTTTTCTTCTTCTTGATCTTTAACACTGGCTGAGCCTTGGACCTCATCTTTCTATATTCACTCACTCCCTAAGTGATTTCATCAAATCTTACAGTGATGGATTGAGATTCAGTAGCTGAGGGCTCAGCTCAGCCTTGAAAGATTAATACTTTTTATCTTAGTTAAGGCTTCTTTAATGAAATACCATAAACTGGATAGTTTACAAACAATAGAAATTTATTTTATCACAGTTCTGGAGTCTGGGAGGTCTGTTTTTCAAGCTACCAGCAGATGTGGTTATCTAGTGAGGGCATCTTTGAGCTGTCCCTTACTTGGCAGAAGGGGTAAACAATCCTCTTCCCTTGGTTCTTTATAAGGACAGTAATCCCATTCATAAGAGGTTGACCTTCATGACCCAGTCATCTTCTAAAAGTCCCACTTCTTCATATTATTGCCTTGGGGATTCAGTTTCAATACATGAATGGAGATGGTGGCAAAAATATTCAGACCATAGCACTTCTTAAGTTTAATTTAGTTTCACAAACACTTTTCTCTCTTTTTCATCTGATTATTCTGGTCCCTTTAATATTTACAATGCTTAGAGCACATCAATAAATTGGCATTTGGATTTATAAGCCAAGTGTGTGTTTGTCCACTGCTTGATTCTCTTTATTTCATGGTAACTTCACTAACATAAACTTGCTATCCCAGACCTTTCCTGAGGGCCCAGTCCTGAATACAGGAGAATGACCTTACCTCTTCAGAAGGTGGTTAGAAGGGATTAGCCCAGCACAGGTAGAAAGGTCTGAGATTCTCCGGGCCTGCCACCAGAGGGCGTCATTCTGGTCCACAATTTGAAGGATGTCTCCCTTCTGGAAAGGCAATCCAGCATCCATGCAGGGGATGGAAGGATCCTCCTGTGGCCAGTAATCGGTCATGGCACGAACGTAAATCTGATGGCAAGTGCATAATTGTGTCATGAGAAGAGCCTTTGTCCTTGGGCTGGTAAGACTTAAAATCATTGCTCCCTTTCTTCCATGAACTGGTCATATCTTTCCTCTCCACTCTCTCCAAAAAAGAGAATTTGCTTCCTGAACTAAGTACCATGAAAAAAAAAAAAAAGCGTCTGGGGTAATAGCTCTGAAATGTTTATGTTCAATTTTTCAGAATTTTCAATGTCACTTCATGACTTTGTGGCACCCCATCTCCCTTTATTGTGCTCTTTTACTCATTTTCCTCTTCGTTCATCAGTACTGAAAAATATCCAGCACAGTATCGAACACATGTCAAAACAGCATAGAGGACAGGGACATGATACATCATGTTGGATCAGTGTCATTATTTTGAGACTCACTATGTGCAAAATTAAAGGTTCAGTCAGCTCTTACCATCTTCTGACTATTCACAGGAGGATCAGAAACCGGAACCACCTTGAACATGATTGTGCTGCGAGACATGGCCTAGAAAATGACATGGAGGAGAAGTCACAGAGTCAGCAAGGTTGCTGGGGTTTGGCAGATGCAGTCACAGCTGAATGTGTCTAGGACTAATGGTGACATCCCCCACAGTAACTTTCACAGAGCTCAGCATCTGTTCCCACCCAGGAATGGAAAGAAATTAGGAATCAGAGTTGTTCTGTGTCTGCCCTGCTGCAGGGCTCTAGAGTCACAGGTTGCTAAAATCCACACCCTCTTCCAGGGCCCCTCCATCTTACTGCTGACAGAAACACCCTACTCTGTAAGGTTTCCTTCTCACAGGCCCTGTCTGACTTTCTGTCCTCATGTCTGTGATTTACAATACTTCAAACTCTCTTTGCAGCACATTACATGCCGCACAGAATGTTGAGGCCATGTCCTTTTCATATCTTTCCTCCTCTCAGTCTCTAAGCCATCACTGTGAAAGGCTCAAGTTCTCCCAGGCACCCAATTTGAGAATCATTTGTCTATATAATATATAATGACAAATCGCAGGCCCCAAAGTTGGGGTATGCATTGGGGAGATTGATGGAGCTATGCTGCTTTGGCTAGTTAATACTGGACTGTAATTCAGGGAATGGGCTAAGAGGTGGGAATGGAAACAAGAGAGACCAAAGTCTCATAGAATCAGACTATGAATCCTCAACTTCAAACACCAAGGAAGAGGGGTGGGGCCACACAAGGATGTCCTCCTCCCTATCTTCTGTCCCATGGTGACTTCTTTCTCCCCTCAAAGCTGCCCTGGAGAAAGAGGTTAAGCAGATTTCAGCTGCATAAATGTGTTAGGGGAGGGATGGGGGTTGCAGCTCAGTGGTAGAGTGCTTGTCTATCCTGTGCAAGTCCCTGGGTTCAATCCGCAGCATTGAAAAAAAAGCGGGGATGGGAGGAGCAAGCAGTGGTTTGCTTAGGCTCAAACTCTCCTCCAAAGCTTCACTTTGCCCACCTGCGCTCAGTTTCCAATGGAGAAACAGGTGACAAGAAACCTGAACTGGGGACCTGATCATCCCCTAAGGAGCAGCTTAGGTAGGAACATTTCCCAGCCAGGGTCAGAATTTCTGGGGGGTAAAGGAGGAAGGTCAATGAACTACATGGCAACAGGTAAGATCTGCGGCCTGGAGACTGGAGGCTGCGGAGAGGAACCCAAGTCCCCACATTACAATGCACACACCACAGGCTCGATGGGCCCAGTGCCTCAGCTCTTCACTAAGTCATGAACAAAAAGACAAAGAGAAGACAGTTACCAGAATATGGATCACTTGCTCAGGGTCCAGTCCCTCAACTGAGACTCCGTTCACTTCCACCAGTTTGTCTCCGGCATATAACAACCCTAGGCAAACAGAAACAAAGAAAACGTACCAAAAAAAGGAAAAAATGAGGTCACTATTTCTAAAGCTATAAGCAAACTCACTAGCCCAAGCATCCTCTAAACATTCTAAATAAACCGTTTATTCCAACCTATACCACCACAGAGATCTGTGAGCATGCCATCCACCTCTTTTCCAATGCAAATGGTGATATTTTTCTTTCTGCTAATCTGATATAAAATGGAAGGAGAACATTGTAAGAAGTAGCACTAAAATTAAAGATGTTGGGGTCGTGAATAAATGATAAAAGGAAGAGGTGTGTGTTTGAGGGTATTTTCAGAAGAGAAAATGTGGAGAAATTTGGGGGGGTTCAAGATTATACCTTACCCCTAGAGGTTAGGAAGGACAGGGGAGAGCAGATACAGACAAAGGTTAGACAACAGGTACCCAAACATAGCTACGTAGAGGGAAGCAGCTCCAATGTTCTACAGCACAGTAGGGTGATGATATTTCACAATTTATTGTACATTTTATAAAAGACTAGAAAAGAGGAATTCAAAGTTTTCCAATACAAAGAAATGATAAACCTTTAAGAAGATGGAAATGTGAATTACCCCAATCTGATCAATACACATGTGTACATGAATTGAGTTATCACACTGTACCTTCTTAATATAGTTATTATGTATTAATTTTTTTAAAGGAGGGGTAGGGTTATGGCTTGGTGGTAGAATGCTAGCCTAACACATGTGAGGCACTGGGTTCAAACCTCAGCACCACATTAAAAAAAATGAAATAAAGATATTGTGTGTCCACCTACAACTAAAAAATAAATACTTTTTTCTTAAAAAAAAGGAGCCAGGCATGGTTGCACATGGCTGTAATCCCAGCATCTTGGGAGGCTAAGGCAGGATGATCGAAGGTTCAAGGCCAGCCTCAGCAACTTAGTGAGGCCCTAAGCAACTTAGTGAGTCCTTGTCTCAGGATGAAAAATAAAAAGGGCTGGGGTTGTGGCTCAGTGGTTAAGCATCCCTGGGTTCAATCCCCAGTACAAAAAAAAAAAAAAAAAAAAAAAAGGAAAAAAGGATTAAACCTTGAGAAATATGAGGTAAAATGGAAGTAAAATGGAGGAGAAGCTGTGAGGGAAATGAGCAAAAAGCAGGATGACCTCACAGAAAAGACACCAAGGTAACAAGATGTCAAGAAAGGTGTCCATGGCAAATGTGATGCAGCAGGAAAAACAAGCCTGAGGATGAAAAGGGGGTCCCAAGGGACTTAGCAACTGGGAACTCCTAAGTATTTGCCAGAAGGATGTTGGGGTGTGAACCACATGGGAACCCTGGGGCCAGAACCTGAGGCAGCCGGTGAAGAGACACTCATATCAGAAGCACATTAGTGAAAGGAGGAAAATGTGCTTAACTGGTAGAAAGAGCAAACCAAAGGCATTTCAAGATGGAAAAGAGCTACTATGTCTTTTTGAAAGCAGAAGGGTCAAAAAGTGGGGACTATGAACTCAGGTACTCGAATCCTGACTCAAACTGTATAACCTTGATCAAGCTAGTGACTTCATCTCTGTGACCCTCTGTCTCTTCTTCTATAAAATGGCATGGTAATGTTAGGCTACCATGAGAATGTAAAGTGAGAGAGCTTTTATATGGTGCCTAGAATGGGAGGGACTCTGTGAAGAAGGGAAGCGAGACTTCCCTGGACTATCTGATCTTTCTTTCTTTGTTACTCTCATGAAACCATGGAAATTACAAAAGGAGAGAGGGTTCCTTGGAAAAGAGACCATACAATCAAGGCTTTTGAGTAGTTCCAGTCACACTAGAACCCTGATGCTCTTGCTTACCACTCCTCTCCACCAGCCCGCCATGGATGACCCTGGCCACCAGGATGTCTCCTGTCATCTCGTGGCGCTTGATTGTAGCTCCCTAGAGAGAAAATAAAACGGGGTCCCTCTTTTACCTCACATGGCCACTTTCCTGGTGGCTTCCTTCAATCAATGCAGCTCTGGCCTTTCAGACAAGGGTATGTATACCAACCAGTGAGAGAGGGGCCACACAGTGTCCTGTAGCCTGCCAGTGACACCAGGCTATCAGCAAAGGACAGACCATTCGACCTTGGCCCCGTGACGTCGCCTTACAATAGTACAAATATAAAAGAATATTTAGATCCTTCCAAAGATAAAGAAAGTTCCCATGATAACAACCCAAATGCAAAGACTGCTCCTAGAACATCAAATTAATGCCTTACTTGGTTTCCCATTAATAAAGGATAAAATTTAGGCAAGTGCATTGGAACTGAGTGAAATATAAGCACATCAGAAAACCAAACAATAAAATAAAAAATATATATTTCTGATTTCTCACAAAATAAGTCTTGTAAGACTTGTCTTACTTTTCTAAAAGGAAAAAATGCTAAGCAGAAATCATTCCATAACAAACACTTTATAACATGTCATGTGTTTAAAATCACAGACAAAAATCAGCTCACTGTACCATCACTGTCACCTGTGTATGACCCAGAGTGAGGTTGTATTGCCCAAAATAACTCTGGAATAATCCTTAAGGAAAAGATGTCATGACTTCCTTACCAGGGGCTGCTGGTTTTTCACCAAGCAAACAATCCTCATGGCTTCCTCGCTCTCAGGGATATTGTCAGGCAGTGGGGGAAGAAGGGGCTCAAAATCTTTCTGAGCTACCGTGTCATGGGCACTGAGCAAGGCCTGGGAACAGGGAAGAAAAAGTGAACAAATGTCACTCATGGGTCACGAGCATCTAGAAGATGATGACTGCACACCACACGAGACGTACACCAACACACACGTGCCAGGCATAGTTCTAAGCAATGTCAGTCTTCATGGTAACCCTGTGAGGCAGGATCACTTACTGCCTTCTATTTAAAGATAAGGAAACAAGCCACAGAGGGGTTAAGCAATGTTGAATATTCCCCCATTTTTGCTAAAATGTGTTATTCCATAATATTCTGATTTCTGGGAAGCCCAAGTAATCCAAAGTGCTCCTATGAAGTTTTGGCCTACAAAACAATTTCTATAATATTTTGTGTAATGAAGGCAGAATGAAGACAGTAATCAAAACATCTAGCTAGTTCAACTTATCAGTAACACCCAAGGGCCCATGTGGAACAGAATAGGAAAATTAGTTCTTGTTTTACGGTGTGATGAGAGTTCCTTCTAATGGCCATTTAAACTTTCAACTGACCAGGTGGGGAAGCTATTGTCATTCTTCAGCCTGCCTGACACTGGACATGCTGTAGTTAGAACTCAAAGGAAAGTTGTCCATATAGGCTGTGGTGTTGAAGATATGTGATAACCAGTTATCTTGTGAACCCTGAATTCCATGACTCCAAATTCAGTCCTTCTCTTAAAGTTCCAATGTATTGATAAAATGATCTCAAAATCCATAAATCCTAAGAGAAGATTTCTTTTATGCAATCAAATGTTCTTCATATAGCAACTCACAGGGGTTAATCATCATAACACTGTATATTCCAAATACCTTCACACACTATATCCAAAATTTAAATTATTTTCAAGTTGGGAAGAAAGTAGGGATGTTAGCTAGAAGCTCCCCTGATTTCCCCTTAGAATTTTCCAGGGATGATTGTTTTGTAGGGGAAACAAGACACCATGGAAAATTCTGGAAGCCTCGTCATAAATACAACAGGCCTGGCTCCATGATTGACAATACTGAATCCCACATCTTCAAGTATAATCTGTTGGTCGCTCATATACAGTAACAGAACATCCATTCAGAGAGCACGTTTTCTACTCCATGTACTCATTCTTTCCAGCTTTGTCTGTGTGCCAGTTGTCATACCTTATCTATTTTAGCAAGTACTTGCCTTATAGTGTGGAGCCTGGAGGAGCTTTCTCAGCTCCTGGACCTCAGGAGAATTAGGGATATCTCGTAACAGCTCCATTACCTGGCTCATGGAAAAGCACAAGTTATAAATTCTTAAAAACTTTCACCATTTAGTCAATTCCACCCAGTCTAGATAATAGCTACACTGACTAACATGAAATTGACCTAAGAAAAGCTGTTATTAGAGCCTCCTTTTTCATCTTTAAAATCAGGGCCTAGCAGCCCTTCCTTAGTCATTAAACTTCACTAGAGCAGGTAATTCAAAATTGGAGGTGGATCTAAACCCCAATCCCAGGCCTGGTACATTATAGCACTGGAGGAAGAACATATGGATTTTCTAATAGCACGTGGACCAAGACAAGAGCCCTCTAGTGGTTCTAAAGTCACTGTTTGCCAATGTCAATGCTTCAAGGGCAGATGAAGCTGCATTTAGGGTGAACAGAAGAACTTGGGAAGTTCAACCCAATGGGTTCTCCACTCTTCAAACAGAAAATGGGAATAATAATTTTTATTTCAGGGTAAATTATTTGATTAGTAATTTTCATGTTTGTTGTAATATAAAAATGCTAAACAAAATTGACTCTGATACCTTGCTGCAGTTTAAATGCAGAACTGCTTTTAGAGGACACAAGCTCTTTCAAGACTTTAGACAGCCCCATGAATCTTTGGCAGTTCAGACATTGTACATACAGACAAATGAAAACAAGCAGCTTACAAAACTTTATCCCCTTTCAGTAGGACTACAATTGAATGAAATATCATGAGTGTATTTTTTTGTTTAGAAATGAGGACAATTTGAGTTGTCAATTATTGGAATTGAAAGTATAGTTTTTAAATTTTTTTCTATATATTTTAATATAATTTGGACAATAAATAATAATAACAGGGATTTCACTTATTTATCCATTCCACAAATATTTTTGAACACCTACTGTGTAATGGGTACCGTTTTAGGTGATGTGAAAATAGTGGTAAAGAGGTGGACAAAAATCCCCATTCTCATGGAGTTTATATACTAGTGAGGAGAAATGGTCTCTCCTCCCCCCCAAACACACACATACACACACACACACACACAAATACATGTGTAAAATAAGTAATTTTGTTTGGTGATAAGAAGAGTTAAGAACAAAAATAAACCAGGGAAATTGGCTAGGAGATGCTAGGAGGAGGGCATGAAGATTTAGGAAGATTATCAGGAAAAGAGTCACTGAGAAGTGGTGTTTGAGTGGAGATGAGTGAGCAAATCATGGTAGATGGACCAAAGCATGACTGGCACAGGGAAAAGCAAGTGTCTGATTCAAATTCAAACCTCCACAAGGGGCCAATATGGCTGGAGCAGAGCGAGCAGGTGGAGAATAGTAAACTCAGAGTCAAAGAGTCCATGGCAGCTCAATTATATTCAGCTATGTAAGAACTTTGGCATTTGAGATGGGAAGTCATGAGAATTTGAGCAGAGAGGTGATTAAAGAGGAAATTAAAGAGGTGATTCAAGAGCAACCAAAGGGCTGCTGTGTGGGGAACAGGCTACAGGGGGCAAGGGTAGAGCCAGGGAAATAGGTAGGAAGCTATACTGCAGTTATCACAGCTTATATTAGGTGGCACAGGGGTGATGAGATTCCGGATGTTTTTTGAAAGTGGAGCTGATAGAATTTGCCAGCAGATTGAGTATGAGTTTGAAAGAAAGAGAGAGTCAAAGATGACCCTGCAGATTTTGGCCTGAGCACTGAAGAACAGAGATGTCATTAACTGAGATAGAGAAGGCTATAAGAGGAGTGAGGAGGCGGAGTGAGCAGGAGTTCAGTTAAGGACACTTTAAGGTTGAAGTGCACATTAAACAGCCTCATCATATGGGGAGGAGACAGTTGGGTAGTTGAGACTGTAGTAAGAGAAAGGGTCCAGGTTAGAGAGAGAAATTGGAGAATCGTTAGTGTAATATTATTCCATTTATATGAGGTAAATTGAGTTTAAAGTTTAGGGGGAAAGAGAGAAATGATGGATACATGCTAAAAATGTAGGGGTGTTTAATTTGGGGAAATATCCAGATAATTTCCTTCATTAAAACTCAGTTAAAAAGGAGAGGGGATAGGAATAGGAAAGACGGTGAAATGAAAAAACCTAAGTGAATCCCACCATTGTGTACATCCTCAAGAATAGGGTCCTAATTAGAATAAGATATAATTTATGCATGTGTAATTTTATCAAAATGAATTCTACTGTCACGTATAACTATAAAAAAGTTCAATTAAAAACATTTATTAAAGCCAGGCACAGTGGCATATGCCTGTAATCCCAGCGACTTGGAAGGCTGAGGCAAGAGGATCATGAGTTCAAAGCCAACCTCAGCAAATAGCAAGACCCTGAGCAACTCAGCAAAACCCTGTCTCTAATGAAATATTAAAAAGGGTGATGGGTGGGGGCTGGGTCTGGGGCTCAATAATAACGCACTTGCCTGGCATGTGTGAGGCACTGGGTTCGATTCTCAGCACCACATATAAATAAGTAAATAAAATAAAGATCTATCAACAATTTGAAAAAAAATAAATTTAAAAAGGTTTTAAAAACATAAATAAAAATAAAAAGGGCAGAGGGATGTGGTTCAGTGGTTAAATGCCACTGGATTCAAACTCTGTTCCAAAAAAAAAAAAAACCCACTTATTAAGATGCATGATCATCTCTCAAACTTTTCCAGTAGATCTTTAATTCACTTAAAAAAGCACTAGAGGAAGGGCTGGGGTTGTAGCTCAGTGGTAGAGTGCTTACCTAGCATCTGGGTTTGATTCTGAGCACTGTATATAAATAAATGAACAAAATAAAGGCCCATCAACATCTTAAAAAAAAAAAAAATTTAAAGCACTAGAGGAAAAGTCAGAGCTCTGGAGTGAAATCCCCTTACCTCACAGGATAACTTCTGTGCATGGGGTGTGGCGGGAACTAGTTTCTTTTCTTTAAATTCTTGGAGGCAGTCATAAACCTGCAGATGGGTGAGGGTGGAGAATTGATGTTAATAACATACATGACTATTAACATTCTGGATTTAAGACTCTCAAAGGGAAGAAACAACCTGGGAAACTGTCCAAGCAGCTGAATAGCAGGATGTGAGTTGGCCTTTAATAAGGTGTGTCTCTAATTGCAAAAGAGAAATGAACTCAAGTCCTGGGTTCAGTGACTTAATTATTGGCTGCCATGAGTCACTGAATTTCCAAGAAATTTTATTGGAAAAAAAAAAAAAAACAGCCAAACTTGACCCTTTTTACACTGAATAAATTTTCCAATGCTGAGACCAATAGGGATTGGTAGATGATGCACACAGGGGTGTCTCAAGGAAGGGACTCTGTGAGAATAGAGACCCATGAAGATCTCTGCACAGGGAAACCGTGTGGCTTTGGGCCAACCCATGTCCTGAAGAAGAGACCCACCAGGAACACTATACTTATCTGTCCTCTGCTCTGATCTTTAGGGTTGTCTGTTTTACATCCCTCCCTTAATTTTCCAATACAACTTTATTTATAAAAATTCCAATCACATCTCTGTGGGTCCCTAGGAATTTTTTTCTGAACCAGGATGTAGGATCAGGCTGAGTATACTAAACCCTAGCTCCACAGTGCAGTCCTTAATTTTATTTCAGGAATTAAGCTTTTCTTATAGATAGAGAAGCAAGGCCCAAGGGGCCAGCTTAGTCCAGTCTTTTCTACCAAGTCTGTGGTGTTACTGCTGCTTGAACTTTCCCTAGGGACCAGCAATCAGTGTACCTGGAAATGATCCAAGTTGATGGATCAATGCAAGAGCACAAAGCACAAACAGCCTGCTAGTGGGGAGCAAGGACAATGTCCATGAGGAAACGAAAACTCCCCTCTTTTGGGTAGGGAGGTCCGATAGACACCAAGTGCTTTGGAACAAGCCAAGTGTTCATGTTTAAGACGTTGCCTTTTTAAGTCTTAAACAACATAATATTAGCACGCATTCTAAGACGGACCACAACCCACACTTAAGAGAAACACCCACACAAAAATGACTTCAAGATTTTTCTTAATAATAAGATTTGTTCAGAAAAACAAAATTATAGTAGTATTGATTATTGCATAATGCATGAAGTTTTAATCAAATTAAAAGAGAAACCTAAAAGAATTGAAAAAAAAAAAAGGCTGGGGATATTGCTCGGTGGTTGACTGCCCCTAGGTTCAATCTCTGGAACCCCCCCAACCCTAAAAAAGAAGAAGAAACCTAGGGATGAGAAAATGTTAAGATACCCAAACAGAACATGGATGTCTTATTTCCTGATTTTAACAAAGAAGAATAATTTTTTAAAGATATATATATATATAAACAATTATTATGCATGTGTGTGTGTGTGTGTATTTTTTTTCCAGGATTGGCCTCAAGAACAAATGATTATAATAATTATAGAACTGCTGACAAGATGCTGCTGATAGCCATTGTGGCAACTTTGTGATTCTAGGGCTCTCTGCAACAAAAAGAATTACAGGTTGTTATGACTTGGATCTGTTATGACTTGATCTTCAGCTCATGTGCTGAAGGCTTGGTCCCCAGGGCAGTAGTGTCAACAGGCAGAGGAGACTGGATCACAAGGGCTCCAACCCCAACAGTGGATTCATCCACAATGTTCTGCCTCCCCACAAGCCCAGAAGCAACAGAGCCAAGTGACTATGGACTGAAACCTCTGAAATGAGCCAAAATAAATAATTCCTCCTTTAAGCTGATTCCTCTCAGGTATCTTGTCACAGTGACACAAAGCTGAGTAACTCAGGGGTAGAAAAGAAAGGAGCTGCTCTTTTCTTTTCCACCTGTGTCAATTCCTTTCAAAGCTAAGAGGTGTGTGTGGGTCTTCTCTGAGGATGGCCTTCTAAGAACTTTTTCCATGTTGAAATTTCCTGCCAGGTAACAAGTAATACCACTGGGTAAACAGCTGCTATGGTCTGAAAGTGGCCCCCGACCCCAAATTCGTAGGTTGCAATCTTCACCCCAGGATGATGCTATTAGGAGGTGGTGCCCTTGGGAGAGGATGAGGTCATGAGGGCTGCACCCTCAAGAATGGGATTAGCATCCTCATAAAAGAGGCTGGGGAGATCCCTCACCTCTTCCACCATATGAGGTCACAGTAAAAAGATGGCCTTCTGTGAATCAAAAAGTGGGTCTTCATGGGACATGAAATCTGCCAGCGCCTTTGATCTTAGACTTCCCAGTTTCCAAATCTATCATAAATAGGTTTGCTGTTTATAAGCTATCCAGTCTGTGGCATTTTGTTACAGAGCCTGAATGGACTAAGGGAGTAGTTTTTAACCAGCCAGTTAGCAAAGAGCTGCAAGCCACAGAGTGCTCACCTTTAGCAGGGCCCGCAGCCACCGGGAGTGCAGGAGATCATAGAGAAGGCACACTCCGTTCACATCTCGGCTGTAGAACAGGCTCAGCTCCTGCAGCACATGCCTCAGGATTTGGGAGAGGCCTAGAAAAGGGAGAGGACAGAGACTGATGGGGTGGGAAAGGTCAGAAAAGCTGCTGTATATATGAAAGGCAACTGGCCAACTTCAGAAAGTCCCATGACCATCTGGAGACCAGTTTCTTTGTGGCTAAATGAGAATATGCTGGATTTCTTACAGGGTTGTGGCTAATCTTAGATGAAACAGATCATAATATTCAGAAGTAAGATATCATAAGAGCTTCCCCCTCCTCCATCTTACTAGCCTGTGGTTTATCCAAAATTATCTGTTTCCTGGATCCTCTTTCTCACATCCAAATATGGAGTCATTTGTTTTTATCCTTTCTGAAAATTCTTATGGAAAGTGTTATACTGAAAAACATTTAACTCACAATAGGATTTTAATACAAATTTCAATAGTCTGCTGGGTAAAAGGATTAAGTAGGTTTCAGTGAATGCTTGATTTTCCCCCCCACAAGTATATTTATAAAAATTCTTTTTTTAAGTGATATTTTGAATGTGAACAAGTCGTGCAATTCTCAGTTTTACATAAAGCATTGTGGGAATGGGGGAGGTAGGGAGGTCTGAATCTACTGTCAGTTTTCTTTCCTTTCTGCCTTGAAAACTGTTTCCAATCTGTCACTAGCAGTTGTAGTAGGATGATCAAAAGTGTATAGCAAGTCCCTGGTTGGGGTGACAGTAAATGTGTTAGAATTTCATTCCATGCCTAGATTGCGTATCTAGAGTGATACCATTCTTTCTGGTTTCAAGGGGACCTTGGTGACATGTACCATTCCGTGGCTGGGTTGCAGTAGAGAGCTTCCTGTCCCTGTCTGGAGGATCTCCTCCTTTGTCTGACTGTATCATCCTCCCTGCCAGAGCTTCCAAAGGGAGGTGGGACCTAGGAAGCAGATCATAAACAACTCAGAGTTCATGCAATCACACTGGCCACACACTCAGCCTCCAGAAATATATTTTCAACAGCATTTATAAAGCACGCTAGGCATTGTGCTACACACTGGGGTACACATCAAATAAAATGCAGTCTTAAAGACAGTGGAATGAATTGGACATAACTTTCCTATGTTCATATATGAATACATGAACAGTTAACTCCACATCACGTACAACCACAAGAATGAGATCCTAATTAGAATAAGTTATACTCCATATATGTATAATACATCAGAATACACTCTTCTTTCATGGATATCTAAAAAGAACAAAGAAAAAATTACTAATAAATAAGTAAATAAAACCTAGTCTTGCCCCATAGCAAATTAACCATCACCAGCAGTGGGAAGGAGAAAACTACTATTTCAAAAAGTACTCCCACTATCCCTCTGCTTTTTAAAAGCAAGTTACAATGTTATATTTATCTTCCACTGATTTGCCTCATTAATTTTACCTATCTTTCAAAGCTCAAAAGGGTCTCCCCTGGCCTGACTGCTTGTATGTGCCCTGCTTCTTATTTTGCACCTTACAGTTCTTCATAAAAAAAAATAATAAAAACTAGTCACAATTGTACAATTGCTGTTAGAAGACTTAACTGAATCCATGTGTGATAGATTGCTGCTGAGGCAGACTCTTAGAATTTACAAACAACATGATAATGATTTTTTTTCCTATAACCTTCCTGACTCAACCCCACGATCTATCTAAATTCTAGAGAGCCCTATCAGATTCAATACTAATCTTTAACAACTTACTTGAAATGCTTATTTTAATGCTTATTTTCCATATTGCTTTAGGTGGGTTTAATTTTGAGAAAGAGAAGCACAAAATAAGTTCAGAGGCAGAGACAATCCAGGATTGGCAGGGCAGTCTAACTCCACAAAGTCCTTAGGGAACAGGCTACTTCCAGCTCCCAATCCCCACCCTAGGTGTGACATTGTTCTCATCTACAGGCTCCAACATGGTGGCTGAAACTCCAGCCATCTTGTCTACATTTCAGCCAGCAGGACTGGAAAGGATTAGAAAAACAAGGGCAGAGGGAACATACACACTGCTCTTCAAGAAAATTTCTTAGAAATTGCCCTCCATAACAGGGAATCATCTTAAGCCCCACGGAATTTTCAAGTGTCCCACTGGAAAAAACAAAAAAACTATAATTATCTGAATCTAGCACCCAACTTTTTATTACATGTAAGTACAAAAGATTTTGCACATTCATTGGATAGAGTGGTACCACCGTAATTGAGGAATGAATTTACTTGGTTTTGCTTTAAACTTTACCAAGCTGTCCACCAATTCAGAAAATCATGTCACTAATGGTAATGCTGCGTGTGGTACCCAGGAAATCACTACAGCCTATCAGTATCAGGCTGCATCTGTGCCTGTATTCAAAACTGCCAAATCCCTTGAGGAGATTTTTGTGTAAAGTTTTTTGTAAGTTTCTTTTAACTTTTAATGTAGAGAAGTCACATATTTAAATATACAATGTCTTATGATCAATTCTTTTTTTTTTTTTTTTGGTGGAAGAGTACTGGGATTGAACCCAGGAACACTTAACCACTGAGCTATTCCCAACCCTTTTTATTTATTTTGAGACAGTGTCTCGGTGAGTTACTTAGGGCTCACTAATTTGCTGAGGCTGGCTTTGAATTTGTGATCTTCCTGCCTCAGCCTCCAGACTTGCTGGGATTACAGGTCTGTTCCACCATTCCCAGCTTGATCAACTATCCTTTTAATTATTATTAGGGAATTATATGCAATTTTTTTTCAAAACTCATGAGTAGGAATGTTGGTTGAGTTCTCTTAGATCAATGAGCAAGGACTATAGGGTAGATAATTTATTTATAAAGGGACCCCAGGAAATACCCATAGAGGAGTAGGGTATAAAGTCAGGGAAGAAAAGTCATTAAAAGTGTGATCAAGCGAGTAAATACTATGAGTGGCAATTGGATGGTAATCCCATGGGATAAGAAGGAACACAGGAATGGAGGTATTTAAATACCAATGTTGCCGCAGGTCCTTGGTTAAGGGCCATTCCTGAGAGCGTTTCTTCTGGCCTTTCCAGCCTGCTCCAGGTAGACTTTCAGATAGCAAGGATAGGTGCTAGCAGTTGGCCCAGAGTACACCAGAATGGAAAGCACCGAGGTGATATATGTGGGTAGGGCAATGATAACATTTCTTATAGTAGGATGAATTAGGATTTTTTAAAAGAAGCATTTAAGGGGCTGGGTTTGTGGCTTAGTGGTAGAGCGCTCACCTAGCATGCAAGAGGCACTAGGTTCGATCCTCAGCACCATATAAATGTAAAATAAAGATATTGTGTCCATCTAAAACTTAAGAATAAATATTTTTTAAAAAGGAAGCAGCAGCATTTAAAATTAGTTGTTTAAGACTGGGGTATTGAATCTGATTGGGCTGCAAACCACTGTCTAGACACTAAATCAATTATGGGGTTGAGCAGGAAATCTGTCTAAAAGATAAAAAGATCATTATTACATTGTCTCTAAATTCTACAGCAGTGAGAACAGCTCAGAAATTTGCACAGAATGTTCAGCTGCTTTCCCATACACATTCTTTTCCAGTCACACTGAAGTATTTTACTAGATTTCACCAAAACCTGACATTGTTGTGCCTTTCCTTTGCCCACTCCACTCTAGATCCAGCCCAGCCAGGTTAAACTGGGCCTTTTCCTGTGTTCTGCTTTTTTTTTTTTTTTTCCAAAAATCCTGAGTAGGTATATTGGAAAGGGAGGGCCTGTCAGATAGGCAAAAGTCAGAGCAGACAGATGGGGTTGATACCAGGCAACCTCTTAAAACCTGTTAGCCCAGCATGTCCCACAAATCACTATCCTTGGTAAAACAGCACAGATTAAATAAGCCAATGTTGTTTGCACATAAGATGGACCACATTTCTTCCATATTTAATGCCTAAATGATAACACACTGAATGAAGCCTACTCATTCAGTAGACAAGGGCACTGGAGACTGATTTCTGATATGAATGTATGAGGCAACAGCTGACAAGGCAAGTGCCTGGATATACTGACCTTAACCTTTTGTCCTATCAGACTTCAAAACTGGGCCAATGGGCATCTTAGAGAAAATAAAATACAACACTTTTATTTCCAGATAAGGACACTGACTTTAAAAAAGCAACAGTAGCCCCAGCCACATGCAAATCTGGGTGATTAAGTAACACATGAATAACCAGTTCTCTTGTCATGGATTTAGAAGCTGCAGTACTGTCACTGACTCCTAAGGCATTTGTCTTAAATATTATTTTAGAATTATTTCTATTAGCTTTCTAAAGTGCACTAACTACTATTCAATGATCCAACCTACTACCCCTTTTATCCTGTCTTTAAAATAATGCTTTTTAGCTGACAAACACTGAAAAAAAAAAAAAAACACTTGAAGACTTAATGAGAAATGGTCCCTATGATAACGACTGGCTTCCAGAGTCTAATGCTATTGTATAGGACTGGGATAAATGCTCAGTTTTACTCAAACTCTATGACAGCCCATTATTCCATATTTAAAGAAATGGTTTCTCAAAGCAGAACCTCTTCTTCCAAAGTCATATAATTCTCCATATTTGAGTTGCTCTGAAATTCAACTATTTGAATTAGATTATCCAGAATGATATTTTAGCTATTAAAAATGAACAGACATGCTAGACAGTTATAGGAGGTATCTCTGGTAACTGAGGATTATTTGCAGTATCTTACCTGTAAGACTGAACATGCAAGGTTGCTCCTATGCAGACAAAACCTTGAGTGGAAAATACTATGGGCTATTAGCTGCCAAAGTCACCTGACTGCTCTAAATAAAACCTCTGCACATCCTCTTTGATTTAATCCACACACAGACCTAACCTAGCTTAACCATGAACTCATAAGCTTCCTCTGCCACAAATCTTAAAATATTCCTTAGTCTAAACATCTAATTTATAATTTTCAACCTTTACCTAGTATTTTCTTACATTGTCACAAGTTAACACTCACACACACAATTTTTGTTAACTATTTCAGGATAACAATCTACAACAGAAGGTGGCATTTTTTATTTTAATGAAAAAAACAAAAGCAAAAACCCTGTAGGCACTTGGAGTAAACTAACCCCATTAGCCTTATTTTCTCATGTTCTGGTGGGAAAACAATGGGACTCTTCTGCCAGTAATAAAGAGAGAGCACCATCAAAAACAGCTCCTTCTGGTCTGTTCTGTCAAGACTCTGTTCTGAATTTAACAATTAGCCAGCCCATGCTTGATTCTCAGATAGGAGCTACAGTAGGGAACCCAGCAATATCCATGGGGGCATTGGTTCCGGGGCTGCCTGCTGATATGCAAGTTTGCAGATGCTCAAGTTCCTTTTATAAGACAGCACAGTACTTGCACATAACCTATGCACTACTGTAAATCATCTCTAGGTTTCTTACAGTATCCAACACAACACAAATGCCATGAGGTTATTATACTGTATTGTTTAGGAAATAATGACAAGGAAAAACAAAGTCTGTACATGTTCAGTACAGATGCAATGTTTTTTCATGAATATTTTCCACCCACGGCCGACTCCACGATGTTATCCACAGATAGAGGTCAACTGTATTTCTGGTATTTGAAAATTTATATTACAGGATATAGTCAGTGGAAAGAGCACTTTGACAATGATATCACACAAAGAACATGAGAAAGGGTGAAGAGCAAATGGCAATTATTAAAAGGTTTTCCAGCCCTGTTATCCCAATTAAACACATAGTTTTCTTCATCTCTCCACTGCAGAGGGAAATACAAGCTGGGAACTTAAGACATTTGTGTTTTGAGCACAGAATGGTTTATCAAAAGCACTTAATTTTTATGCAGTTTTCATTTTCAACTAACTTTTTTATTTTTGAGAACTACCAATGCCTAACCCCGCTAGGAAACACCTCTGGCAGCTGTAGTCAGAAAATGCGTTGGGACTACAGGAGGGGTTTTAGGATGGGATACCAGCTCCAGAATTGAGCAAATCATACACTCCTTGTTGAAAAGTGAGCAAATCACAGATACCTGCAGCCAAGAGGTGCTGTGAGCATTGGTGCAAGTGAAAGATCGCCATCAACTGTTGGTACAAGTGAAAGATCGCCATCAACTGTTGGTACAAGTGAAAGATCGCCATCAACTGTTGCGTGAGTGCTAGGTATTTCTATTTATAGATACTGGCCCGGTTATTTAGGGCTTCCCCCAAAAGAACTGGAAATTCAGGTCTCTTTTAACATGCAATCTGAAAATAAAATATACAATGAAGAATCTAAAGTATTTGGATAGTTTCATTCAAGACTCCAAGTAAAAGGATGAATTGTAACATGTTTTTCTTAGAACTAAGATAGCCTACCATCCTTTGTCCATTTCCACATATTATCCCTGTCTCTTAATGAGCTAGATATTCAATAATTTGTCTTTATCAGCCAAATGAGGCATTTGTGTGGTTGTTCAGAAAGACAAAACAATCCCCAGTGGAAATGCAAAGTGTTTAACATAGACAAATCTTTAAGAACTGGTCCCTTTCCTACTACAAGTGTGTACATTCCAATAGAAGGCATGGCGAAATGGAAAGGCTCCTTGAGAAAACATTACAACTAATCATTACCTGATGCCTAATGTTTCTCACCAAACTTTTATTCCTTACCCTTTCCATGAATCTATTTAGGGTAACTATCAACAACTATCAAATACACCATTTTTTCCCCAAGAAATACTAGATTTAAGACTTGTCCTAGGATCTTTAGGATCAGAAAGTTAATCTGTTCTTTGCTAGCAAAGGTGCTGTAATTATTGGTTTATGTTTAAAGAGAGAGATCTCTAAAGTCCTAAAAGTTCCTCTGAGGTCAAAAAGGCATAAATTACAATATGGGCAGAGGAAATACTGGGTTTCTTTTAAATTTTTAGGCTGCCCTGTGTCATTTCTTCTGTAATCATAAAACCACCTCATAAAGATGAATGCTTTTTATTATGAAAATCGCTGTTACAAGCCAACATTCCAAAACAGTATTTTAACAAACACTTGTCTTGATTATAAAGTAGAGCAGAAACCATGATCCTTTTTCAAAAGTAATTAACATCAGCTGAGTCACTTCACATAAATCAGGACACTCCATATGTTCACCGCAGTGGGTAGGAGATGAGATGAGGGAGAGCACCTATGTTATCCAAAACAGCTACTAGTGTTACTGGTACAGTGTAAACCAAAAACTTACAGTAAGACATTTTTTAAAAAAGAAAACACTAAACTGATGAGGTGCCACAATACTTTAAGAGATGGAAACAGTCAAAGCTTATATTCTTTTTCTTTCCATCTTGGGTTCAGTGTGAGGTATAGGGAAGAACCACAACACTAGGTTGGGGATCGATGCAGTTCTTTGCTTCTGTATTTCCCAAACTTCAGTCCTGCTCCAAAACAACAGCTTGTATGCAGAAGCTCTTCAGGCTGCCAGTCACAGGCCTCGGAATACAGCATTTACACATGGACAAATAAGGGTTCCACAGCAGCTGAGTGGTGCTTCAATTCCAGTGTACTCAACTTCCTGCAGCATATTGAGGAAACCAAAACCAAAATTCCTATGTTCCTTTCACTCAGCAGGCAGAAGGCTCCTATTTAGATTCATTCTGTGTCTTGGGTCAGGATGTGGTAGTCACTACATAGAATCTCTCCCATCATGAATATCCTGGTGGAAAAGCTTAGACAAAGTTAAAACTGCAGTTCAAAAATTCCTCCTTCCCCTCTCTAAGCAAAGAAGCATAACACACACATGATTGGAAGGGATCTAAAAAGGCATGGTGTGGCTACTACAGTTTTTAGTACAATCTGCTCCTTGCAAAGAGATCTGGGGTAACTGCAGATGGATTCAGGCAAACCAGAAACTCAAAAATATTCATCATTAACTTCTTTAATGCAAGAAGCGATGCTGGGAACTTGCCTTACAAATCCACGTGGCTGACATACCCTTCACTGCAGGAAGGGATATCCTCTTTTTCCAAATAGATGCATGAAATTTCTGGGACTTAACACAGGCCAAGCACTGGTCTGATTGATTTCTACCTTCTTTTCCATCCTCCCTTTAAACTAGTCTTTTTTGTTTTGTTTTTTTCCTGAGCTCAGGGCTCTAATTTTTAGTAAGGCTCTGAAATAACAACCAAAATAACACAGTCCTTTTCAATTTTCAACACCATTCTTTTTCACCACTACAAAGATTCCAGATGGTGCTGTGACCCTTGGTAGATGATAATCCAGTTTTCAAGCTATTATGCAGCCTAGTTAAGCTTCTCACGCTGAATCTGGTAGTAACATGCCTGGAAAAAAGTTCAAAATAATTTTCAAATTTACTTTTAAAGAAATTACATAAACAAAGCAATGAATATGTAACTAAAGAAAGAAAAATCCCTCATTAAAAACTAGTGACCCAACAAATTCAGTTGCTTACACTTTTCCCTGTTCCTGTCAAGTCCCCCATACAATGGCTATTTCTTGTCTAGTTGTAATTAATACAGATAAAATTCTGCATTTTTTCCTCTAATTCTAAAACAAACAAAAAAACTTCTTACAAGATGTATAATATTCTTCATCAAGTAGAAATACCATAATGAACCACTTATGATTGAGCAGAATATACTGATCTTTTAAAGGTATGCTAGAACAACTGTCATCAGAATCACCTGGGACATTTAACAAACAGAGATTAAGCATCACTGCAAATCTAGTGAGCCAGAATTCCCAGGAATCCATTTTTAAAGAAACACCCTCAATGTTTCTGAAAGTGCCTAGGTCTGGGAATAATTCATACTATAAAGAACACCACATTCAGATAATATATACCATTTTTCTTTTTTTAACTCCTTAGGATAAATTCCCAGGAGTAAGATTACTCAGTCAGATTCAACATATCTGTTAATAACAATTTATAGCAATTGTAATTATAACAGCAAAGGATGACAGCTATTTACCCACTGTCAATGTGGGAAATGATTTCACTATAAAGCCACCAGCACTGGGCATAATTTTAACACATGCTAATTAAGCAAGCACAAAAACGATATCTTATTTAATCAGCAGTACTTAGATTTTCAGCAAGTTTGAGCATTTTTCCACATCTAAACTCACTCATTTAGTCTCTTGTTCTCTGTTTAGAGGCACTCTTCATGTAACAAATACTAATAATGCAAGCAATTTGCAGCCAGTGTCTCCTAGTTTCCCCCCTTTTTCAGTCTGTTTAATAGAAATGTTAATGATTTTAACTACAAATTTTAAAAGTTGTCAGAAATCTGACATTAAATTCTATGTTTTTTCTTATTTCAATTTACCTGTTTTTCTTCTCTCTTCCTTTCTGTTTAAACCCCAAAGCATCTATAACTTGCTAGTCTACCCATCCCCCAAACTGCTAATAAGCTTTATCATTTATTAAATAATTCCTCTCTTTTCCATTTTTTTATTTGCCTTTTCCATTTTTGATGCTTCTATTTTCATGAGAAATTTTTATTATAGTGCTGTCTATACAGGGGTTATTGCTTAGGTATTATTTATTTCTATGACAGCAACATACTATTTCATCTGAATTATTATAATTTCATGATATTCCATTAACTGACAGAGTGAATCTATTTTTCCTCCCTCTTCTTTTGAAGATATTCTGTCTGTTGCTCTTCTGATAAACTTTAGAGTAATTCTACGAAATTCCAAGAAAAAATTTAAGGTGGGAAGTGAAAATTACTTCTAATAAATCCCTAGAGGGTATTCAGATCAGAGAGCCTCATGTAACCTATTGGTTATAGTAAATACAAGTGAAAGAAAAAGATGGAATTCAAATTCATTATTTTCATGTTGCCTCTGTGTCTTTCCTTAGTTTCATTACATAGCTATACTGCTGGATACTTTTTAGGACACTAAGAATCCTCTCTGCTTCTTTTCTAGAGTTATTTATATAAATGTAAGCATTTATGATCACTTGAAATGTTCAATTTACAAAGAACATTGGATAATGAATAATTTGCTTTAGTATTTTGAAGAATAACTGACTAATCCTACTTTTCTTCAAAATGTTATCATGCTTTTAAATATCAATAACGTGCTTTTCTAAAGGTATTTAATGTTTGCAGTAAAAATTTTCTCTAAAGAAGAAAACAGTTAATGACAGGTTTATAATATAGTACATGAAGGACAATTTTTATTATTAACTAATACCTACACTCACCTTCAAGGTGGTGAACATTATGCCCTGTTCCCCATGCTGAAGATAGGGGTCCATCAGATCCTCAATGAGATGTACCTCAGAGCCTAAATTCCTAATCCTGTCCCAAAGAGAAAAAGATGCTAAGTTATTTCTGCTTACAAGTCTATCTTCCTTTTTAATCTAGGATGGGAAGAGAAAGAACAATTCAATAAAAAGATAATACCAAGGCTGGGGATATAGCTCAGTGGTAGAACACTTGCCTAGAAGTATGAGGCCATGTGTTCAGCCCCCAGGACCCCAATAACAAAAGGAAAAAAGGTAATGTCATGGTGGAATGGATTAAGAGAGTGGATTGTTTTTCCCCCTGGTAAGAGAGCATATTCTTGGCATCAGTTCAACAAAAGTAAAAAGCAGACTCGTTAAATAATGATTTAATAGTAATAAAGTCAGAAAAGATAAGCTACCTGGCCCGTAGCACCACATATAAGAAAACAGGGAACAAGTCATCCATGGACCACAAAAAGTCTTCCTGCAGCGATGCCAGGACACTCTGAGAGATCTCCTCAAAAGTCTGCTGGATAACCTTAAGTTTGTCTGATGGGGTAAATGTTGTGCTGTTGTGGGAAACAAAACAAAACAAAAATATATCCTCTCAAAGATAGATGTGTGTGTGTGTGTGTGTGTGTAGATATATAGCAAAGACCAGATCTTAATATAATATCTTAATAAACTAACCACTACTTTGTGTGATTTCTCCATAAATCACAGACTTATTACCTGATCTGCTGCAGACACTCTACTGCTGAGGCAAAGCAAGCATCTTTTGTGGTTGGCAAAACCTACAAAATAAATTAACAAGGGTCAGAGAGGAGAGTTGTCTTTTTCAACAAAAATAAGTGCTGCTGATGGCAGAGTGCAGCTCACTGGTGGGTAACGGATCCAAGTAAAATAGAATTTTTTTTGCTATCTTGAATCCTTCATGGCAAAGAAAAATATAGTTACAGAGGAAACTAAATTCTACTATACCTTTTTACTCTCTCCAAGGATTGACAAGGTCACTGGCCAAAATTTCCTAGAATGAAATCCATAAATTATTAATATATAGTTACTATGATAGAAAGATCCCCATAAAAACAGTTGACAGCTATATTTGCTTCCTGGTTCTCATTAAAAATAACTTCTGCCGATTGGCTAAGCTTTAATAAACATTCCAGAAGTGATTTAAGAGTTTCTAAGAGATGGGCATAGTGGCACATGCCTTTGATCCCAGCATTTCTCCTCTTATACCAGCAGCTTGGGAGGCTAAGGCAGGAGGATTAAAAGTTCAAGGCTAGCCTCAGCAATTTAAAAGACTGTCTCAAAATAAAAAATAATCTGGGGATGTAGCTCAGTGGTTAAGTGCCCCTGGGTTCAATCCTTGGCACCAAAAAAAAAAAAAAAAAAAAAAAAAATTCTATTATATTTCTACAGGATTTATAATTCTATACTTCAACAACCCTGTACACTAATAGGTACTGGCCAAAATCTTTCCTTCATTCAGTTTCATCTAATTTTTACTTATTACTATGTTATTGCACTATGGGAAGGGGGATGTTGAAAACTGTCCAATTAAAGTTCATTCACTTTTTTTGATAGCACAATA